GACCGCTTTTGTGCAGTTCTTAGTTGACTTAGCGCCGTTATATATTGTAATGGCCATGCTTAAAGTTCACAGCCTTGGGGAGCTTCAATGAGAACACTTCTACATTTGAGTCAACACATGATGATCCATCCTGTGTTCTTAATACAGGAAGGATAAATCATAAAGATATAATAGAACGCCAAGCCTTAAGTATAGTCCCTTTCCCAAAGTAACCCGTCCACTTGGCATTCTGGTTCACTGTTTCCGTTTTGGCCTAGATTAACGCTAGTGCTAGACGACACTCACTATAATATGCACTTGAGTAAGTAGGTTGCCGTTTTTCTCCTATTCTATTTTCCCTCTAAATCAAGCCACATCTGATTCACACTTACTTCCACCGATACTCTTACTGTAAACAACCAAGGGAAGCTTCACGCTCACTTAGGATGCCTGTACCTGACGCCAGCTAGCGTGAGTGACTCGTGTCTAGAAAAACCAGGCGCGTGAAATGCAGGGCTGTTGAGGTGGAACAGGAAGGCCCGCGAAATCTGAATAGTACATATACATAGAATGTAGTTCCCCTTCCCCACCAGATGTCGTTGACCCTTTGATATGTTGGTAGGTGACGAAGTTCTTGTCAGAATCAATGGCAGTGAGTGTCTAAGACGGAGCCTTAGGTTAGGTTAGATTAGGAAGTTAGGCGTGGGCCCACTAGGAAAACTAGCAGACAGAGTTGGCTACTGAATCTGAAGAGCCAGAAAACACGCCTACGCCTTACCTAGAGGATAGTTGTTCCCGAATTTACAACACGCACCACGATATCCGGGGTACGAAACAAGACACTCCTCGCAGAACCCGTCCCCGCAATTTCCTTGCCTTTCACAGTCATTAGATGAGGCTGACACACATGTAGTGGTCGATGATCATGGCCCTAGTAGTCAATTACAATTTCTATCAATATCAATATCTATATCTCTATCTGAATGGTTCCGGTATTTGGTTGTAACCTGAGTTGGATCATAAGAGAAAACAAGAAGAGAACCCTTGTGATCAAATTCAGGTTACCGAGTACCAGAGACATACACTATCATCCATGGGTAGGTATCTATCATCTATGTATAAACCAATTTAAATAGTAGCGCCGGACGATCTTTCCTGAGGAAACTAACAGAGGAAAACAGCTGACGAGGTTTCCTGAATAGTTCGAGTAACCCGTTTTTTTCTTGCACACGGGATACGGATAAAAACGGTCACGTCGTCGTGTCAGCATGGTACTTCTTGCATGGTTATTCGTGTCCTCTATCTGTGTGGCCATATTCGAAAACTGAAAATAAGTGAGTAGCTAACTGAAGTGAAAGAGTAACGAGTACGCTGCTCTTTCGGTATTATCTCTGTAAATTCTAATTCTAAATCATAAAATCATCAGAAAACTCTGCCTCCTTCTCGTTGGAATCGCTGAGGTGGTAGACTGGCGGGACAGGTGAAGCAATTAGAGCTCACCCAAATTTATGACACGTCATAAATAGGGTACTCGGTCACCCTCAGAAAATTAGCTACTGTCCTACTTAGTTAAAAAATCCTAGCCAATTTATTCAGTATGAATACACTTTTTCTTGTCATAAAATTTTGCATCTTGATGTTGATATTCATCTTGATGCTGTCTCCCCTCTATGGGACAGCTCCTCTAAGATGCTTCAGAAGATGGAACAGGATAAGCCTTAAAGCAACACAATGCCAGTTGCCTTCTTCTTTTTCGTACTTATCGTCGTATGTTCCTTTTTTAGGATTTCCATTGTCATCCACCTTGTGTTAGCGAAGGGGTTGACTAGGTTAGGTTCTGGACCCTGCACAATGAGCCCCCCATCATCTTCTAATACGTAGAGGCTTGGTTCGTGATCTTCTAAAAATGCACGCATATGACGAACGACTGGTTGCTTTTGGGCTATCGACAATGTATGACAACAGTTGTCTGACTATTCAACATGATGAGTTTACGACTGACTATGAGAGTGACCAGTACTTAAGCGTGAGATAAGTGCCAGAATGATTAGATGAGGGAGTATTCGAAAAACTGAAGTAAGCAAGTAACTGACCAGAATAACCGAGATACTGATGAGAAGGAAGAGTAGCCTTGGCGTTAAGCTACCTCCCTTATTTCAGTCAGTAACTCGGTTATTTTCAGTTTTCGAATAGTTAATGCGATAAGGTAGACTATGGCTCCTCCAGTCATTTTTACACAAGTACTGTTACTTTGTCCTGCTCAGCCATAACCGTAGGGCCACTGAACGCCAGAGAGTGTGCATGCTTTCTCAGCTTTGTCGGGCTTCGGAGATGCACTTGACTGCTTTGTTCCCATATACCTGTTCCCCGTGCTGCAACAAGCACCCTGGTAGCCAGACTCTGCTGAGAAATGAAGAAATCCACATGGAGGACGAGGAGGAGGATCTTGGTTGGGTGGTCTTGAATGGCTCTGGTATTTTGCAGCCTGATTTTGATCATAGATAAGGAAAACAAGAAGAGCATCCTCGTGATCAAATTCAGGTTACCAAATACCAGAACCATTCAGGTCTTGTTTGACCAAGTTAAATAAAATTATAGATGTTATTAGACAGTTCTTCAATATTTAGCTTTTTTTAGCTGTTCAAACCAGGAGCAATCTCTTCATGAGGTTCTTCATAAACACGGCAATGGCTACAAAACTTTCCCTTTTGATACGCGCACATGTGCCAACAATGAGTAGTCGAATGACGATATCCAGCGACTTTGGTTAGAAACTTTTCAAAATCCCCCTCACTTCAATTTGTGACCTTGGTTAGAGGCTTTTCAAAATCCCCCTCACTTCAATTTGTGACCTTGGTTATAGGCTTGTCAAAATCCCCCTCACTTCAGTCGCTGGCCATCTGATTAATTGAGTCGGCCACTCAGTTCAAAGGGGATCCGCTGGCCACTCAGCATACATAGTGCGCACCCTTTTACATGATAAGAATGCGACGATACTAATTATAAAATGGAATACTATAGTGTTAGTGATAATCCCCTTTTTTGACCTTAAATTAGGTGCTAACCAGCTTGGTACTGGAATTGCGACACAGCGACGGGGTTTGAAGGGTTTGAAGATCGTCCACAACACGCCATGTCTCCTGCATTCTTCTATTAGATCAACATGATTGACATTGAAGATGCGGATGTGCTTGCTATTTCCATCAACTACTACTATATCTTCATCCGTCTTCCTCTACTGTGGAATAGATGAATAGGAATAGGGCAAGCTTCTACATGTAAGAGTTTCATAAAGGCGGGTCGCCGCCAGAACTTTGCTCTGTGAGACCGTCATTTACGGCACCCTCAGGCCACGCGTTACCACTACAGCAGCCACCTCGATAACCAGGCAAAACATTGCACTTCTTAGATAGGAGAAGTGGCTGCTTGACATGTAAATGATCTTATATATACATTATGTAAATAAAATGTTCATACTATTGCTTGTTCCACGTGCGGATGCGTATGAAGAGAGCCGATAAATTGTAGGCGTGAGCGTGCTGATCCATTCAATCATAAAACTGACTATCACGACTAATCTCTTCTGAGTTCTTCGAATAACCTCCTTAAGCTACTCGATGTCGATTTTGATGTAGGTCTTCTTGTACTAGTTCTTCTAATTGTAGTAGTTCGAATTGTACTAGTTCTACTTGTACTAGTTCTACTTGTACTAGTTCTACTTGCGCTAGTTTTACTTGTACTAGTTCTCCTTGCACTAGTTCTACTTGCGCTAGTTCTACTTGTACTACTAGTACTACTACTAGTTCTAAATCTAATTGTACTAGTTCTAATTGTAGTTACGAAAAAAGAAAAGCTACAGACTCCTGCCTTAACATCACGATCGTAGGGCTGGCAATTTTTTGAAAATCCTTTCTGGTTATTTACGCTGTTTATGTTTGCGTAGTCGAAGCAAATCTTATTGCGAGGGTCATTCGTGTGACCCGCTGACATTAGAGGCAGAAGCTTTTCTTCGCGCAAATCTTCTAAGTCTAAGAGAGAAGAGACAAGGCTCTATATCTTTTGAATTCATGATCCAAGGAGCCGTTTTCTAAATCTTTTGAATTGTAGAGCTGTTTTCCCTTGCAAGAAAGATTGCCCCCATTGCTCCTTCGGGAATGCTTGTATTAAAGTGCTGTTGGTGGAGCATATCTATAGCTAGAAAAAACAAAAACCGAAAAAAGAAAGGGCAGGCAAAAAGTCGTAATGGATAGATCAATGCAGGCGTTGCAACACACTGGAGCTCATTCCCAGGAGTCGTACTCGACCACAACATTCCGGGATAAAAACACTCAGGGTGCTCGTCCTGATAGTTTGGCATGTCTTTCCGCCCAAAAGGGTACGTTCTGCCAATAGGATATGCAAGAAACTTAGACGAAGCAGTTGCTACTGAAAGTAGCCTAAACAAATAATATTTATAAGAAGGTCGCACTCTGACCCCCTCGGCTCATGCAATGCATGCAATGCCATGCAATCCAACATCCGTCTTACGAAATGTTCTAAAATATACAGAAGTTGCACAAAAGGGTACGTTCTGAAGCAGTTGTACATGCGGTAGAACAAACTGAAACTATAAAATCGCCTCATAAATCCACCACGACAGCAGGCTGCATCGTAGGCCGTCTTGGTTAGGTCATCCGTCCTTTTTATTAACGCCAGCCAATAAATTTAAGCTTTTTAGCCAAGAAGGTTGAGTTGTGAGCTGCTTTCTGTTTCTAGTACTTTAACTTTCCTCGCCATGAAAGAAAAGTCCCATTTATCTTTATCATGTTCTGAAATCAAAAAGGGGAACGTCTTCAGTGAAGTTGAAGAAGAGGATCTTCGATAATCTATAATGGCAACATTATACCACCCTCACGCCACCAGATAGTCGCGTTAGTGAACAAGAAGAAGATTGACCATTAATACGGGTGGAGCCAAGCTAACTAGGAAAAGAAAAAGTAAGGATAGTACTCGTTGTAGCCTTAATTTGAGGTCTTTTCGGACGTTGCAAGCGTTTGTGAGGCCACCGGGGTTTACAAATTTTTGTTTTTTTGGAGCGTACGGATTCGTTACCGGATTGTAGTACGTGTTGTAGTAGTAACCTTAGAAAAGAAAGAGCCGATCGCCATCGGATTGTAGAACGTGTTGTAGTACTCGAAAAACTAAAATAACCGAGTAAGCGAAACAATGAATAAGACTTGGAAGTAGCGTTTTCTTGTTCTAGTTACGGGGGGAAACTACGGGGAGGGGGAGCACGGGTTCAAGAAGCTTACCGAGGTCAAGGGATCTCACTATTGTGGATGGAAGAAAGAGCATTTAGAATAGTAGGCCCTTTGGGGTGTCCACTAGATTTTCGGATTGTAGAACCTACGGACGCGAGATCATAATAGAAATAGTGGTGGAGCCAACCTAACTAGTAACTAGAAAATGCAAAAAATAAAAAGCATGAAGATATAAGACAGCGATTAGATTATAAAATCTAATGGCCATGCTTACTAGGATCCGTCTATTCTAGGCGCCGCGTGTCGTCCATCAGCCCTTATAATAGTTGTTCCTCTCGTAATTCACGACAGGCCTTAATAGTTGTTCCTCTTGTTCTTCCAGTACTGGTTAAAATAGGCTTTTTCTGTATTCGTCAGCAATATGAAGAAGGGGTAGCTGTGTGTAGTATTGTTTATATCATGTACTTACTAGAATGTTGCTTTGATTTTGATTAGACAACCGATCTTCATTTTCATTGATTTCCCTCTTAGTTCATGTAGTTCTCCCTACTTCATGATCTATACATGTTGTAGAATACAAATTAGAGAAAGAGAATATGGATGATCTATGTCTACTTTTCATTCACTGTTTGTGCTTGCAACCGGCCTACTTTTTCTGAGGAAAAAGAAAACTAAAAGCCAAGGAGTGAGTGTGCTGCTTCTGTTATTCAAAGAGCAAGAGCAGTCCTCTCGTAGTAGTGGGGCGACTTTCTTAGGGGTCCTTTGCTAGTATTCATCTCATGCGTGCTGGTTCACTCCGTGTTGTAGTCCTTAATACAACTCGAGGACTTGTACGAACTAAGAAGCCAGTTGTCATCAATCATCTTCATCTTGTTCACCATACTAAGTATTCATCATCACCCTCGTCACGTTTAATCTTCATGCAGAAGTAACAAGTAAGTGGAAGTCTATTGATCCTCATAACACTTCGCCACTCGGGATCCGGCCACATGCATTCCAGAGACTTGCTTCCACCATGAAGAAGGAGATTAACAAGTAGAAGGAAGGTGAGAAGGAGGACGAGAAGAAAAGACCGTATCAAAGGTCAGGGCGACAAGGAGAAATAAATTTCTCTTGACAAACTCATAACCATAACCAAAACCAACTTCTAATGTATGTATTCAAAGTGCTTCTAACCCCTACTAAAGCCCTGATCTTTGTGCTTGTTGAGGAGGTTGAGGCAGAGGGGTGTGAACAGCAGACGCTTCGCTCACGCACACGACCAACTTCTAATTTAAGTCTTATCCTTGTAGTTGAAGTTGTTACTCCATGATGAATGTATGTGAAGATTGTTTGAATGTTTAACAATTGAATGATTAGTAATACTTACAACAGCTGCTGCCTTCTCATCCTATGTATTCCTAAGTCGCTTCGCCGTCCACTTCTACCTTGTCGCTTCCTGTTGGCCACTCAAAGCACGCAGGAAAATCTGGATGGCATGGCACTCCCCAGTCGTTATTTGGTGCTTCTCCTGACATTAGAGCCATGACCGCTCTCGCATCCCTGAGCACATCCCTCAGCCCTTTTTGTTTTCCTCTCGTTGAGAAAGAAGCTTTGAACAGTGCACAAGAACAGTGCAAAAGAACACACAACTACGCACACATCAACATCAACATCTGGAGGAAAAAGAACCTGGATGAAGCTGAGGCTGCTCTCTTGATGCTCTCTTGATGGTAGGCTTAATGAAAAGGAGGCGTTGACGTTCGCGTCGACGTTCACTTCGGATAGTTCAGGACTCGGGAACATACTAGGATCTTCACCACCAACTCCTGCAACTTCTACCGATTGTAGTGCGCCTCCCAAATCGTGAGAAGGTTGTTGTTGGTCACGCGGAACTTCTCCTCCATGCAGCTGTTGTCCATGCAGCTGTTCTAAAAAAGGATTTTTACCATCATTTTCTTGCTGTTGCTGTTCCCCTTCTGCTCCTAATGTTGTTGCGTCCTTTCTTCTACCACTTTCTACTTGCTGTAGCTGTCCTTCGCCTATTGATAACGCATCCTCTGGCGTCGTCGCTGGTCGACCCCAACCGCTCAACTTACTGCCTTCTAACTGTTGTGGAAAGAAGTCCTCTCCTACCTGTCCTTGTGTTGAGAGCACACCTTCGGCAATCTGTTCTCGTGAGGACAACACATTGTCTGTCTGTCCTTGTGCGAACATATCTCCTGTCTGTCCTTGTGTTGACGACACAGAATAATCCTCGTAAGATGAAGATCTTGGATCTTCATGTTGAATCTTCTCCTCAAGAACTACTTTAGTACTAGGCCTACCATTGTAGTTTGCTTCTGAAGTAGCGTACCCTGCTTCGCCCACCTCCGCATCGTGGACTTGGTCCTCCACTAAGGGTTGTTGTGTACTATTAGTCTTTCTTGAAGACGTGGTTATGGTACTATCTAAGGTGGTAGCACCAGTAGCGCGAATTGAGTTTGAAGTTCTATTTTGAGTTTCCTTCTGCTCGTGCTCAGTAGAAGCACTTTTCACGCCCACTTGGAAAGACAGTGCCTGTTGCTTCTTCACTGTGGTCTTACTGAATGTAGTTGATGAGGCTACTTTAGAAGAGGACGAACGTGTCTCCTCGACCAATGCCGCACTTTTACTGGTAGTTTGGGCGCTACCTCCACCTAGCTTAGATGAAGTTGAAGAAGCCGGAGCTTGCGTTTGCGATGACGTGGATGAAACTGAAGGCACCTGCACCTGCTGCTCTCCTCCAATGGGTGTAGTTTCTTCTTGCAAAAGCAGACCTCCAGTAGCAGCTGTTGATGTTGCGGAAAATTCTTCGTCGTGATCCTTGACCAGGAAGGGTGGGTCGTTGTCGCGGTTTAGGATCCTCTGTATTTTCGAATTCTGTCCCACGTCTTTTGAAGATGCATTAGTTCTTCTTCTTGGCTTCGAGCTTGATGATCTGCTCCCTGACGCCGAAAAATCAGTGTTTCCACTAATATGCTGTCTAGCAGATCCCCTCGAGCTCGATGCAGCAGTACTAGATGCTTCTCCTTTATAATTCTGGTGTAGTACTCCTCCAAGTGCTTCCTGACTGGACAAAGCCAACATCCAACATCGTAGGGAAGATCGGCTTTGCTTGGGAGGCCCCCTGCCCCTTCTATCTCTAGAGGAGGAAGAAGAACCACCCACAGCAGAGGAGAAAAATTCTCCTCCAGATACAACGACCGTCATGCTCGTCTTGTTCTGGGTTTTTTACATGATCGTCTTGTAGTTGTACAACTTGTTGGAAAAATCTTGCAAGAAATGCCTGCAGCTGTTAAATTTGATGTCGTAACTCACATTGATTTGCCTTTCTACTTGCATTGTTTTCATTGGTTTTACAGAACATGTTACTTTGTGCCAAATCCGCATGTTTTCTCTAGGAATCCTAGGGATTCCTAGAGATTCTCAATTTTCTCATCTCTCAGAAATCTCTCACCTTTTGGTCCGCGCCAGTTCGTCTTTGGAGGCATTTGTATTTCTAAGGTCTTTTATTTTTTTTGCCTAGTGTCACTGTCACAGCAACGTGTATTTGAGCTTCGGCTTCCAGTAGAAGCTGGACGAGTTAGTATCTATTTTTCATATTTTTTTCGTTGATGAAGATGTCCCCCACCCACGACTTGTTGATCTACTCGTCACCAGTGTCTATATGGTATTACTGCAAATCATGGGGGAGCTAGAAGTTTCTCCTCTATTTCGACCCGAGCAGGAGCCAGTCAAAATCTTCTTTCTGTACAGAGTCAAAATAAATATCGATAGCAATACCCTAGTACGACTTACAGATGAAATATTCTTGATAATAATACAGAAGGAATAATGATGGGATAAATTTAATTTCGAACCATAGCTGTACATATTTCTCGTACAAGTAGAACTACCTGGTAGAACTAATCTTCTTCTTTTTTAGTATGCCAACAGTTTACTTAAGTTTTCATCCTTGCTTCATGATTGACTGTCGCAAAATTAGATCATTAAAAAGAGGTTGCACACCTGTGTACTTGACGAAAATCAAAATGACGACCAGACGCACGAACTCCTCGTAAGTATCTATTAATTTCATGACTTCTTTTTCCGGTCGTCAAGAATTCAATGAGGAGCAGGACCAGGAGCGTGACTTTTTACTATGCATCAGCGTCCGACTCTTTCTCTTTGTTGAGGGTCATACTCATATCATTCTTGGAAAAAAACTCAACTATTGCACCATCAATAGAACAACTAGACACAACTGAGAATTTTCGACATGATCATAATGCCCACACGATAAATTATATCAATATGTTGATAGCTTTTGCTAATGCAGAAAACCTCAAGCCCCCTAATAAACCAGCTGAGCCCCACTCTGGCTCTGCCAATCTTCATTATGGCTCTGAGAACCATCCAGGGAACTCTATCTTCATCATGGTTCTGAGAACCATCCCGGACACTCCACTTCGCTCAGAGCCCAGGTGACGTTGCTGCAAAAACACTTACCGTGGATCGCAACTTTGTGGACCCACTTATCGCAAAACAATGGCGGAATTTCGGCACTCATTGATTCCGGAGAGGATATGAAATCGGGGACAAGGAAGACTAGGAGTGAAGTTGGGACTTATTATTTTTGATTCATCAGAACATGAAATGAAAATGATTATAGCTCTTTTTTTGAGAATAGTTTTTATTTAGAGACTTTCAATAAGACAGAGTACTAAAGGGCGGGCTTTAGATTCTGCTGCGTATACCATCAAGTAGCAGCAGTTGTAAGGACATTACTTGTTAGTATAAGCCTCGTCTACGTCCACCATCACTGTCCATAAGTTTGTTTACGTCCACCACCGGCTCAACTCGCTTTCCGTAGTTGCCAGACACGATAGCTTTTCCTGAAACATCATTGGACTCGTAGATCTTGAAGGTTTTTGTTACATCTGCACTAGCGTCTCCCTCAGCGTCTGATGCTTTTGTGGTTAGAGAACCAGGGAGATGGAGGAGTATGGAGGATGAGGAGCGAACCCTCCGCTTTGTATATGGAACAAAAATTACCCACTAGTACCTTGTGAAGATGTCATGATGCCTCGCGTTCCATCGTCCTGTCTAATACTAATGTTGATATTGAGGTCTTTCAGCCATCTTGTACCTTCATGAGAGAAGAGCAAGAGGGCCGATCCTCGATGTTCAATATACTTCGTAGTCTACGAAGTATATTAAACAAAAAAGTTGTAGCCACCTCTCTAAACTAATCTCACCTCCTCCAAAATTTCTATTTCATCCAGCATAAGGCTACAAACTTAGGTGTCGAGGCGACTCGGCGGCCTCTTGACTGGAAGCATCGAGCGAAACTCCAGTTGTCAACTGGCTCTCCAAATCTTGTCCAGGCTGTCCCGGATGCAGCACTGATTTAGACCTTACAGATATTCATCTTGAGAGGCATCTTTGGAGCGTTTTCCCTTTAGAAAAGGGGCCAAGGATGCTCCTTAAGATGGATTGCTGTTAGCCCCCTTAGTTGATATACAAACACTGTTCCCGATTCGTATTGGCTTCTGTTACCAGGAAAAGGGCCGTCAGCGGAACGCCGGAAGGGATTAGACGAACATGTTGTTGTCAAAAGAGTATCTATAAGGGAGAGTTATCTTCATGGTGGAAATTCTATTGAATGGCTCTGGTACTGGTATTTGGTAACCTGAATTCGATCCGAAGGATTCCCTTATTGTTTTCGTTATGTATGATCAAATCAGGTTACAACAAAATACCAGAATCTATGGCAATGGCAGCTCTTAGAGCTCCATCATGCAGCTCTAAAACCATGATCATCTCCATCTTCCCTTGGTAATCGTAATGCGTAACTACACGGCTGTGATAGTAATAGAAGATTCAAGTCGTGAAGCCATAAGTACACATAGTTAAGCGTTTCTTTTTTGAGCTCGTCCCAGAAGAACCAACCATCGTGGACTCCTCCAGCAATATAAACGTTCGTCCCATTCTGCCCACCAGTCAACGCCAATTTCACTTTCTCAGCTACTGTATCGGCAAAAGGGCCTGCACTGATGTTAGAAGACTGCTGGAAGGTGAATCACGATTGCGTGAAGCGTATCATCTTTTTTCTGGTTTTGTCTTTGACTCGATTAAAACTACTGTAAGATAATGATTCTTGTGTCTGATCAAGAAAATCAAACTCGAACTCCTGTTGCTGTTCACACTTCACAGACTCATTACACTTAGCAAAAATACTAGAAATAGTATGTTCTCTTAACACTGTCTCCGAGCGATGTTCTATCTCTTGAAATTTTCGAATAGTCAAAATCCATGGGAGGTTGCAATCCACCACAGAGTGCTCTTGGAACGTTAGACCTCACCTCCGATATTCATCTTGAAGTGCACCATGACGCATGACCATTTGTAGCATCTAAGTAAATATATAACGTGTTAGTGTTTTGTTTCCCTTTAGAGACAGAGAGGGCCAAAGATGATCATGCTTTTGCTTCTCAAGATGAATTACGGTGAGCCTTAAGAACGGTATCGGGCTTCAGCTTAACCTCCACATGTGCGACAACAACTGGAGGCACTTCGCCATCGCTGCTACGCGTCGTGCTGGTCAGCTGTAGTTCTTCTTGGCTCTGATGTTCTTCTAGGAGAGAAACTTTTGTCCCTGAAAATTGTCTATTATTGATTGCTAACTCTGCTACTGCAGCACGACCATTGGGCTTCTGTTCCTCCTCCACCATATAATCACGTGGTTTTCCATGTTCTTGTCCTTCCTCTAGTACATTTGTCTTTTCGACGATAGGGCTAGAAGTTTTCTGATCATCATGAACAAGGGTTTTATTTCTTCTCGACACAGTAAAAGTTCTTGTTTTCTGTTGTAGCAGAGCTACCTGAGCCGAGGCGTCGTAGAATTCTACTTTTTCGATATCCTCTGCTAGCAATGCTGGCATTGTTTTAGAGCTCACCCTAATCCATCCTGAAATCCATCTCGGATCCATTTTCCCCTTATGGCACTAGCTTCGAGATTCTTGATGCTTCTGCTGGAGATGGATTAGGTGTGTAGCCTTAAATGTTTGTGTGGTAGTCGAGTTTGTCGCTGGGTCTGTGAAAACGAGGTCCACCCCTTCGCAGTTTTCCGCGTATTCCTCCAGCACAGCCTCTCGGATAGCGTTTTTGACATCAGTACTAGCAAAGAAGGCATCGGTCTCTTCATCTGTCCAGTGGAGGAAGCTCAAGTACGTACTGATCGTGTTGCCTACATTGTTACCAACATCCTTACTTCTTCTGGTTTCCACCAAGGTGGAACCAGAAGGTGCGCGGCTAGAGGAGATGGATGAAGATGAAAGTGACCCGGTCTCAACAAGGAGAGGCGACGCCGACCTCGTCTCGTCTACTGTAGAAGTTCTCTCTTGTTTTTTTGTTTCGGCAACATCTATCGAGGATGATGTGCTTCCGAGGTTGGAATCTTCCCCTCCCTGACGCTCTGCATCTGCCTCAGCACTTAGAAGTTCTACGACTTGTTCTCGTTGCTGCTCTTGGACAACACTATTGTTTCCAACTATTGTTTCACCGTCACTGGCATCCTGCTCTACTGCATCAGTACGATCTTGTTCAGCATCCTCGCTATCTCCCTCTACTACTGTCTCATCACCTTCAACACCACGAGCACGATCTCCATCTTCTGGTACTGCATCTTCTTGCCTCCCCAATTCGCTCAGTCTGGTGATCATTGTCATCGACGACCCAGTCATCGGGTCCACTCCGAGAGGCACGCGCTTCAAAGAAAAATAGCTGTCGACCTGTGGCGGCACTACGCTGCGTTTGCACTGCATATCGTTCAGATTCTCGTAGATCTGCAGTCCGCACAAGGAGATCCGTCCACGTCCAGCTCTGGCTAGCTTGATTTTTACGGTTTGACCTCTCACGTGCGAAAGTGGAATCTGCAAGGTAAATCTGCCACTGTAGAACTTCGCGACATCTCCTTTGACTCGGACCTTGGGATAGGTGCCATCCTTCCCCTTCTCGATGATCGAGCTATGATATGTGTTCGGCGCGTCCTTCGGATTCAGGTTAGAAGAGAGTGAGACAAAGATGCTAGGAGGTGGCATAGGTGGGACGATAGGCGTGGAGGTAGAATCAAGATCAAGGCCGCTTTTAATCTTAGGGTTTTTGTTTCCATGTACTAGTTCTATGAGGTTTTTCATACTTGTTCTACTACAAGAAGCGGCAATAGATTGATAGGAACATACACTCTTCGTCTTCAATGTCTGTATCTGTCATAATTAAAGTCCCAATGAAGTGGTCATCGATGAAGACGATTGCATCCTTGAGCCAGCCCACGCCTTCCACGTTGAAGAGGTCCAGACGGCTCAAACATCGCGGTCCGGTCTTGATTTTTACCTCCAACTTCTCTGCACCGAGTAAAGGTTCGTGCATCAGTCGGCGTTGCGTATATCCAAGTGTCTGGATAAAGGAAAAGTGGAGACTTTGAGGAAGGCCTGCGACTTCTTGTTAGAAGAGGAGAAAAGAGAGCAAATTCCGTGCTGCTTGTAGGATTACCTGCTAGAAGTACATACTGATCCTGAGAAAAAAATTATCTTTCTTCAAAGAGAAAGGAGTAGTTTCCTAAAAAGTCAACTTCCCGGATCCAGATACGTTCCTTCTAAAGTAAGTACTACACTCTTGTTCAATAGACATTCAACATGTTAGGTGGAACCGCAGCCATAATTTTTCTGTTGCACAACAACTTGCGCTGCTTTCAAGCTGCCAAAAATGTTGTGTTTTGGTAATTGGTTCGGCATGGCCATACAATGCACGCGCAACCGTCTCGGCTTCAATGCCTCCTTGTTGTAATGCGCGCTGCCACCTTCTTCGCCTTCGCCGGCTACGCGCAAGTCTTGACCATGCTCACTGGAAGAGGCGAATCCTTCCGGCAGCCTTCGTTCCAGACGCTCTACCTCAGCGTCCGTGCCTGTGAATTCCTTATGGTATTCGCGCTCTGGTGGCATTGCTAGAGGGAGAATTAGACGAGGCAAGTCAACATATAATGTGGTCAACCTCCGAGTGCCTCCAGACCTAGTAGAAGTACTCACACTCTACAATTATATCTACAGGAACAAACTGCGTGTCGAAGGAGACAAATAGACGACAAGGATGCAGGATGGATTCGTAAAACCAGTTTATGCTCGTGCACGTAGTCTGATTCGTGCTCCAGGCGATGAGCGCCACTTCCACCTATTGTAACTGCTTCGCATTCTTGGTAGTCTGTCTTGTCCGTTTCTTCCTCTGGGCATCCGGTTGCGCCGTCACTGCTCCGTTTAGAGCAGTAGGACTTGGACGACGAAGAACAGCATGTGGTCAAAGGTACCTAAATAGGCTTTGAAGCGGACGAGAGAATAGTGCTTGAAATGAGTGAAGACTACACCTAGACGAACAAAAGAAGGAGGCGTGTATCGCCATATCACTGGGTGTCACTTTCTAAATGGATCATATTCATATCTTCACGATCATCAACGACAACTCCCTTAATACTACAAATATCTCTGTCAAAGGATTCGCCTACGAGAACCGTCGCCCTCGCGTCTCTTGGGATATGCCATTTCTCCCGTTTCTGTTCACAACTCTGCTTTCGTGTATCGAAGGATTTGACCCAGCACCCTTGACTTGCATACAAGTCCACTGCAGTTACGACGGCGCCGGCTGTTAGAGTTGGGGCTTAGGGTGCTTAGGGTTTCATGGAAGATTTCTTGGTGGGGAGGGAGAGACTTTTAAGGAATTACTACAACTTAGGGATGTATAAATTTCGTGAGCACGAAACACGAGCAGAAGCAGGTGGCTTTAGTACATTAATATGGTTACTGAAGGTGAAGATACTTACACGACTCAGCTGCATAAATTCGGTCCAATCTGCCACTGCAACCAAGGGTCTGAGACTTCATCGAAAACGCATTGACTATTTTTTCCAGCACTTTCGAATGCCGTAGATCGGAAGCATGCTCCTACGAGGTCCGAGGGAGGAACGCCCTGGAGAGAACTCTTGGGACTTTGGGAGTTAGAGATTGATGGGAAAATATAAGGATGAAAAGTAGGGGCTACTGATAGAGCTTAGGACTATTTATGAAAAACTAGGTATTGTTGAAGGAGAGACATTACTGATGGAACCCTTTTTACTTCAAAGTAGAATATTGCCCTGTGTTGACTGTCGGAGTAGGTCAGCCTGAAGCTGAAGGGGAGTATGACCGTAATATATCGGTGGAGCACACCTAACTAGGAAACAAAAAAACAAAAGAATCAAGTAGTCCATAATGTAAGAAAACCCACTCCCCCTTGTCGGCACATCTAGCGCATCCGGTTGCGACTTGCGACACTGTGATTCGAACAAATGCGGTGTGCTTTGCGCAGGAAACCAACTCTGACCCAAACCCTCTTTCATCAATCTTGCTCGTCCTGAGCGATGCTCCGAGGACGCGGCCGCGGCTGCTCTAGCCAGAGGCCCATCGTCGTCTTTGGTCGTCATAAGCTGCCCAGCTGGTGTTCCGGCTGTTAAGGCACAGGCGTCGAACTTGCTCTTATTAGACGGCAGACGCAGGTGATGTGCAGGTTTGATATTCATCTCTGAGTTCCTGTCCCACCTGTGCTGAAAAGTATCTTCTTGCCCTCGTCCTCTATGAATTGACACAATGCAAATCTGACCTGGTAATTCGTGCAACCTTCTCGCGCGACTTTTTGAGAATTCTGAACGACCTTTTTTTTCGTCCGAATATCCAAGGCCTTTCAGGTGATTTTTTGAGCTATTTTTTAGTTGATGATCATTGATGATTTCATGTTATGCTTGATCTGAACGGGGATCTGAGTTCACTTTTTGCCTGATCTGAAGAGTTGCGGCTAAACCCAAAACCACAACTCTTCGCATTGTCCGGAACAGAGGATCCGAATATTCGCCTGAACCTCCGAAAATTCAACCGAAGACGCCGCTGCCGCTCCTGAGTATTCTGCTTTCACTCCCGAGGATTTTCCTGATGCTACCGAAACTCACGACTTCACATCTTGAAAGTTCAACCGAAAGACCGATGATTTGGAGAAAGGTACCACTTTAACCGAAGGAGAAAGTCACAACTTAGTCCGAAGATTTTTTGCGGAACACTTCATCCCCTGCCGCTGCAGCCCACGCGTTCGTCTGGAGAAGTGCGCATCTCCCATCAAAGTAGCTCCCCTCTACCCCTAGGCCTTGGCCTCTCGCATGCCGAAACAGAAGATTGCGGTCCTGTGTGTTGAAGTGCAAGTTCAAGGGGAATGCTATGGTAAGTCCATGTGTGCTCTGCAAAGCAATGCTAGTGCGTAAAAACATATGGTAATGCTTTCAATCTAAATCTATACAGAAAGCCCGACCCCGACCCCGGTCTCGCCTACTAGATCTATTCTTTGCCCATGAGTATCATGATCATCGACTTCTTTAGGTGTGGCGTTGCTCTAATACAACTATCTAGTACCTGCAGTATTATGAATATGAACTACAAGAAGAGAAGCCGCAGCCGGAAGCTGAAATGGAAGACCAAGAAGAGCTACGAGCACAACACGCAGATGAGCTTACATTTAAGCTGAAAATTTAAAATTGAAAGAAACTGAGTCTGAATGTGAATCAGTATCAAGCTTAGTTTTAGTTTTAGCCTGTGGCTGTGCGTGTGCGTGGAGGACGTGGGAGTGAGTTATGTAGATCTCACGGTTGACGATGATCATGATATTGAAAATAATAATGAATACCTCCATAGAAATAGATTTAGATTTTGACTTTCGATCCATATCCAAATTTGAATTGATGAAGAACAAGAGGAAGAGCTTCTACGTCATTATAATAATTGTGAATGAAATTGAAATAAGAATTAGCATGCGACTGGGACTCCGTTTCATTTTCTATTTCAATTCCAGACGCGGCACTCGAGAAACAACATAAAAACTATGATCAAGATATAAGAACTAACTGTTGGGGATGTGGTTGCATTTGTATTTGTCATTCGTGATCGTGTGCCTGTGCATCTCATCATCAGCGTCGTGCTGACAATGAGTAAGGGAACTGAAACGATTCGGCATACTGTTCTAGCTCTTACTCTCTAATTATGAATTTGAATCATTATCGTTGTTTCTACAACCAGCACCACCACCAGAGCCATACAATCTAAGTCTCAACTCGAAAGCGCACACGACCACGATACAACAGAAGATCATAGGACGAGGGACGCTAAGTCACTTCCGGAAGCAAGCGGGTGCGCGGGAGTCTGCGACTTGTTGCCACTCGAACTAAAGCTAGTAAGTCTAACTCTAAGTACTACTAAAGATAGAAATAGTTCTACTTCTCGAGCTAGCTCTACTTCTATCATAATCTTTGACTTTCAATTTCATATTTGGAATTATGCCTGAATCTTTCGAACGTCGAACGATCATAGAAGTCACTGATCAGAACCGGAAGTAGCAGTCGCACTCGTATTGGTACTCGTACCGAGTACCACGCGAATACTTCTACACAGGAGAAGAAACGAAGCAGAAGCAGCGAGCTCTGATGATGGACATACGAAAAGGCTAAGTATATGTATAATTAGAGTTGCAGTAATATTTCATCAACATGACAAAGCCGACACATGCCCAGTGGTTGGATCACAAGTTGGAGGACAAGGAAAACCAATCACAGTCGCAGTACCCGGCTGCCACAGGAAGATTATGAAGATACAAACGACTTTCCATACGAGCAAGAATACAAAAGTTAAGACAAGAACAAAATAACGTCGGCATTCAACAACTATCCCACCCAGGAGATCATCTAGCCCAATCGCTAGTCTCTCTCGCCCCTGCCCCTGACTGAGACTGAGGAAAAAAACGATTATAAATATAATGCTAATGGTCACAACCCTCTCTAGATCTTCTGCTTGGTTCTTGTCATGTTAGTCTATCGCACACTCTTTCATTTACTCTTACACACGACTGCGAATCCGATCCCGAACCCGATGTCCGCGCACATGGCCACGGCACTCACCCAATTCCCAGACACCGCTCTAGTGCTGAATCTTTCAGAAGCCGAATGTGGAAGCAGAACTTCCAATCCTGTACCCGTGGGCCATCTGCAGGCTCACTCTCAGTTATGACATGAATGGCTGAGACTTGCCCCCTCCTAGTCCCAGTCTTTGCTTCGTGCAATCCCCTTAGGTTTCAGCCAAATCATGATCATGCTCGTGACGTCCCGTCTGTGAGTCAGATACATTTAGAATTGCTCCACCTCCACGCCAACCCGCATCCCCACGACATAGTCATAACGTTCATGCTGCGTCAGCATCTGCATCGTGATCAACATCTACAACTACATCATAATCAAAATCATTCATCAATAATTACATTTATAATAATAATTAGAAATTGTTGGAACACCCGAACACGTCCAAGCGCAATATGAGGTTCTTGAGAGTAAATGGAATGATTATCGTTGCAATGTAACAGAAAGACGATCAGAACGGACGTGCCGAATGATCACTGACTGTTTAAGGCCCTGAAATGGTATCAAAATGGGTTCAATGTCATTGGGATATCATGAAGGGTCATAGTGCAGTTAAAGATCTGGGAGATCTTGCTGCTAATTCATGTTGGAATTCATTGAGTTCAAACGATGATCATAGGAGGAACTAACAAGAGTTCAAGACAAGGAACGGCATTGATCATGATCAAGGTGACGAGTGAGAGCAGTCATTTGACATTGAAATCAGGTTCGTTCGTTGGATCTTGAGCCAGTAATGACCATTGACCAACACCCCTCCTCAATCGCTAGGTGAGGAAATGACGAAAGTCACAAACGGTCTGGTGTTACCTGCTCTGACCCAGAACCATCACGATTCTCTATATCCACTGACGTCACCACTTGACCAACGACCTAACACCCTAAGAAGATAGAATAGGTAAGCACCGCCACGGAAGCAGAACTTGAACCAGACTCATCATCTTCCGTTTCCGAGTCACTATCATCTTCATCATGGTTACGGCTAATGACTGGATTCTCTATGTGATGTAATAATAATCTGCGTTGAGTAGATGAGCATGAAAGTTTCGTTAGTCCATCAGCTTTCATGAGGTGAGTAGGACAGAAAACTACTTTCTCAGCTGCGTCTCTAACTCGTAAATAACGTAACGCATAGTGTCTACTCTTAGGCTTCGTGTCTTCACTCTTTGCTGTCGAGATTGCAGACTGGTTGTCTATCCACAATATGGCATCATCGAGGGATGGCGATATACCAAACCGCGTTTCCACTAATTGAGTGGGTAAGGGATTGAAGAAATCTGTAAAATCATGCAGCTCGCTCATGACAATAGTGTCCGACGCGGCTATATACTCTGACTCTGCAGTTGAATATGCACGCACGGTTTGTGTATTGCGTTTCCAACAGATTGGAAAGCCCCGATAGTACATAATCGAACCACTGGTCGAGCGCATGCTCTTTATGCAGTTTGCGAATCCTGCATCTGAGAACCAGTTAGTATACGGTAGCTCTCTTCCTTCTGGTAGGAGCTTCTTGTAAATTCCGTTGAATTCTTCCTCACTTTCTGGAGAATAATAGAGTCCTTGGTCTTTTGTCGTAGCTAGATACTTTAATACTTTTCTACAGGCTTTTGCAATTCTTTCTGTAACGGGCTTACTGACATACCGAGCCAATGTCGCCACAGGGACGCAAATATCTGGCCTTGCGGTTGTCGATATCCAAAGCAGTGCGCCAACAATCTCACGCAATGGAAACCCGGCTGCTAGCTTAAGCCCCTCCTCAAGCAAAGCAGACTCGTCGAAATTTGGAGACCACACCGGCTTACCTAATGTTATTTTATACTTCTGTATAGTCTTCTCTATGTACACATTCATCAGGATTTTCACTGAACGTGCTTCCCGACAATAGTGCACAATCGCACCAAGAAAGTCGAACTCTAGCCATTCGAAACCCGTAAGAGAATCGACTCGCTTTGCCATCTCAATAGGTCGGCCAGGGGCGCGACTAAAGATCCGGTCGAGCTCAGACCGTAACTCGTGATAGTCAGGTCCAGTAGCTAAGTTATCATCAACATAGACTGACATCTTCATATACTTTCCTGGGTGCGTTTTGCTCTTTTTCCGCCACAATCCTGGAGCAGAAGGACACGGCTCCCATCCGAGTTCGGACAATAGCACGCAATACTTCTTGAACCAGGCTCGTGGAGCGTCCTTGAGCCCATAGAGAGCTTTCTTAAGCTTGACGATATCCGCTCCATGCTTCTCCGCCCACACTGGTGGAAGACGGCAGAAGACGTCACGATCGAGTTCAGCATTAAGGAACGCAGAATCAAGGTCGAATGGGATGACGAAGTCAGAGTCCGTCGCTGCTGAAACGAGTAAAAGTCTATTCGCAGCATGTGACACTACAGGGGCGTAGGTGTCGATATTCCCCGAACGATCAAGATTCCCGAGCACACAAGCACGAGCTTTGAAAGTTCCATCACGTTTTACCGTGAGAACGATTGCTATAGGCATTACCTGAGAAGAGGTTCGCAGCTCCTCGTCAGTAGCTGGCGCCCAAGTCTCAAAGGCAAGTAGTCTAGCTTCCTCCTTGGTGATAGCTGCACGCCATTTCTCGGCGTCAGGGCTTTTCAAGGCTTGGGAAACTGACAGCATGACATGTGCTTCGAGAAAGGTCTCCCCTTCTTCCAGCTCATGCCCGCCTGCTAGCATGGCAAATTTATGCATGTCTTTTCTTAATGCTTCTAGCTCGGCTTTTGTTCTTCTTTTGCGTTGTCCTGGATTCTTATCCTTGCTCCCTTTAGGTCTTCCTCGGCCTTTCTTCCCCTCCTCAACTTTGCCTGGTTGAGATGGTGGAATGGGTAAGGTCCTCGGATCCCTTGCTTCAGGATTAGAGTCAGGCGACACACGCTCCGATGAGATATTCCCCTCCTCAACGCGTTGCGCGTCAGAGTTGGAATCATCACCGGTCTTTGGATCTTCCTCTTTGTCCAAAGATTCACAGAAAAACTCACCAATGTCATTGTTATCTAGTATCATTTCCATGCCGGTTGGATCGCCTGAGCTGTACTCCGTGCCAGAGAAGCGCGGCTGACAGGCCATACGTTGCAGCGCATGTCTGTGCAGGACGGGACCCAGCGACGGCGTGCCAGACTGCAGGTTTTCCAGCGGGTCATAATCAACATAAATGCCCTTCGACGTAGGCAATAGCCAATCAATGTTCTTGACTAATATCGACTCTCGAAATTTTACGTCTAGTGTGGAATACTCACTCCACTTGAAGCCAGCTTTCGTTCTCCCATCGTTGTGATATGTACCTACTAGCCAACCAGACGAAACTGGACACAGACCGAGAAACACACCACGCCGATAAGGTGACGCAAGCTTTGCTTCTTTCTTGTTGGTGGTGTCTACGACCTGTTCACGAAAGTACACCAAGCAACCAAATCTTCTTAACATACCTAGACCACTTTTCGAGGACTTCTTTCCTATCCTCTTTTCTAGTATCTCGACAGGACTCATTCCATCACGTTCTGGCATTTTTGCATAACGATGCGGTAAGCGATTCCAACAATCTCCGGCATACTGTAAGCAGTAACACCAAAGACGTCGGTCGACTTTGACCAACATGGTACGTACAGCACCGAAAATGGTCCGCATGAAACGTTCGCAAGTTCCGTTCATTTCTGGGTTGTAAGGAACTCCAGGAATTTCCGAAACCAGTAGCGATTGCATGACTTTGGTCATATGGTCACTACTTAGGACGGGTTCGTTATCTCTACGGATGAACCACACCACCTTGTCGTCGAGTGACAATGAGTAGTCCTGGCGAATGCCTTTTATTACTTCTTCAATCACCTCTACGCAGTCCGACTTGAGGCAAAGAGGACGAACGAAACACATTTTAATCGAATCACAAATAATGACTAAAGCACATCTTTTGCTTCTTATAGATACTGGTCTAATACCAACTGCGAAATCAATTGCAAGTGTTTTCAATGGAGAAGGTATATGTCCAGGGGGTCTCACTTTTGCATGAGAGCGTCTTTGACCTTTGGTTCGATCACATTCTGGACAAGATACACTAAGGCCATCAACGTGAAAGTGACCAAGTCTACGATGTATGTCTAATCTTGAAGCTTGTGAATGAAGTCTAGCTTCTTCTATACTAGTGCATACTATATCCTCCTCAGTTTCATTTTCTTCTTTGCTAAACATGTCACAGCCTAGAATAGGTAACTGCATCTGGGGGCAATTTGTTATGGGTAGAGAGCGGCCGGAGCGAGTATTGTACAACGTTCCGCCACTTTCTGTGAAATTCATTTGCCAACCCTTTTCATGACAGTTTCCTTCACCTAACCACGGTATAATGCGATCTATGGCTTTTGGTAAGTGTTCAAAGTGTACGCCATATTTTAATCCTAGTTTGTTTTCTTTTAGTCTACCTAGGTTCCCACTTCGCTTTCCAGCAGTGCCACTAATATGACAAAGCCGGTGGCTAATTTTCTTGAAATCGGAACGATGGCTAGACAAATACTTATTTGCACAACTGTCAACAAGTGAAACTGTTTTGCTTTGATTTGCACTAAGATAGCAACCTGAGTGATTGTCAATCATATAGCTTTCATCCCTAAGCAGTTCACTTCTATATTCTTTATTCTCAAAGTTTTCTTCCAAGTTCAGCGAACATTTTCCATCCTCATTTTGGAAATCTTCTTCCAATTCTTCTTCATCTTGGGACTGTCCATCTCGTCTCCCATATCCATTCCATTCCGGATTGGTTTCGACTCAGCGTTGTGGTTGTTGTCCACCCCATTGCTGCTGTGGGTTACCGTTGTCGAATCCTTTTCCTCCACTTTGTTGCGGTGGATAGTTGTTCTGGTGCCACGGAGGGATAGTGTTACCTTGCGGCCAACAGTTGTATGAATTGTTGAAGAAGTTGCTGCCCATGGCTTTGTTAGGTTGGTAGCTTTGACTCATCGGGTTTAGCCAGCATTTGTGCGCCTTATGTCCATATTTGTGACAATAGTTGCACTGGATGCCCTCATTAGGATTTGAGTTCTTAGCACCTTTACCTTTGCCATTTCCTTTGTTCTTCTTACTACTAGAACTACTACTACTACTCTTTCCACTTCCTTTTGTTGCGTAGACCTCGTTCTTGATTTCTTTGCGAATCTTCTTGCGAAGTCGTTTGATCGTTGTTTTCTTGAGAGCGGCAAACGCGTTACCATCGTCATCACTCTCATCTTGACGTTTACGCTTCTTGGTTTTGTTATTGTTCTGGTTTTCATCATCGGAATCTTCGACAGCTGGAAAAGCTTTGCCGAAAGATGGATTCTCGATCTTGTACTCACCAGAGTCAATCAAACTTTGAAGCCGTTTCGTGAGTCTGTCACCGATTTGGACGAACGTTAGATGTTCATCTTCTTGCATCCTCTCGATTGTCTGTCGAAATGCTTTGGAAAACATTTTTGGCAGAATGTCGAGGATTGCTCCGTTTTGTTGATCAGCAACAGCCACACCAACTTCCGGCGGGTATACGGTCGGAGATTGGTTCATGACATCTCTAACCTTCGCCAAGAATGTTGGAACGTCTGGAGGAGAATCACTGTTCGTGAAATGCATCCCTTCCAACGCTTTAGCAGAGATTCGCTGCTCTGTGCGGTCATTTTGACTGAAACCAGCGTCACGGAGGTTTGTTACCACTTCACCAGCGTTCATTACAGTGGTATCCTGATCCTTCATATGTGCTGCGGCTGCACCTTTGAGCGACTTGATGATCACGTTCTTCAAATCTCGCCAATTCTGCTGGAGCTTGCGGTCGTTGTTGTTGGGTTGGTTCGGAATCCCTGCCGCATTGCCGTTCAGCACGTTGTTGAAGTATTGGACTAGGTCCAGGCGGTCCGCTTCTTGCGTTACCGCTCGAAGCCAGTCACGCCAGTCAGATTTCTGTCCCAGTTTGGGTGAAATCTCTCCAAGACTCATATCGGGCATTTTGTGGCGCAAATAATGCGACTTTGTTTTCTCTACTTCTACAAAGTATTGACTAGCAATTTCTTTAATAAGGTAAGGCTCAAGGGCTTGAAACAGTGTTGGAACACCCGAACACGTCCAAGCGCAATATGAGGCTCTTGAGAGTAAATGGAATGATTATCGTTGCAATGTAACAGAAAGACGATCAGAACGGACGTGCCGAATGATCACTGACTGTTTAAGGCCCTGAAATGGTATCAAAATGGGTTCAATGTCATTGGGATATCATGAAGGGTCATAGTGCAGTTAAAGATCTGGGAGATCTTGCTGCTAATTCATGTTGGAATTCATTGAGTTCAAACGATGATCATAGGAGGAACTAACAAGAGTTCAAGACAAGGAACGGCATTGATCATGATCAAGGTGACGAGTGAGAGCAGTCATTTGGCATTGAAATCAGGTTCGTTCGTTGGATCTTGAGCCAGTAATGACCATTGACCAACAGAAATAGAAATAGAGACTTAGAGTGTGAGTGAACGTAGATGAAAACGATAGTAAGCACGTAAGCTGGTAGGGAAATGGTGATGGAGCGAAATACAAAAACGCCGGTCGAGGTCGTTCGTATTCCATGCCTTTCGCTGCTGATGCTTGTCGATCGTTCTACTTCTACTATGAGCTTGGATCTAAATCTTCGCCATCGTATTCGAATAGATTTGAAAAAGAAAGGCCAAGGTAGTCTGAGTCAGAAGGTGAAGGATAATTGTCAGTCTAATTGTAATTCAAAATCTAAACCTAAATTTTAATTGGAACTGGACGAACGCAAGCACTAGTACTAGCACAGCGAAAAGATAATGGAAACAAATGGATATCTATATCTAAAACTTCAACTTGAACTTCAACTTCTTACTTCTAAAACTAAAAGTTTATCTTCTCGTTCCCGTTCGAATTCGTGTTTTAGTTTTTCTTTTTGTTCATCTAAGTGTAAATATGAGTATACTCCTTCGCACATGACAGAAAGTTTCGCAGACGAATTCGAAACGCTATTGCTAATGCTACCCAAACAGAAGCGCAAGCTTTGCAAGTAGGCCGCAAATGATACCAAGACCACCGCCACGATGGTTCATGGTCCCCACGTAAATTCATTAGTCTCTATCACAAAGCATCGTCTTCGTGGAACAGCTACCCCCTAAACGGAGAGAGATCTAGTACAATACGAGGCGCACCAAACTGACAAAACAACTCCTCGACTGTTTTCTTCTATCTAGAGCGTGGAATAGTTGCTTGCGCCAATTTCCCTAGCAGAAAAGAAATAGTTAGTCTTTTGTATACTCGTGCTATCTACGTCTATGCTATGCCATTTAGGTGTCCATACGGTAGCTCTCTAATCTCTATGCGAGTCTGGCTATGGTATCGGTTACAAGATCAAGATCAAGAAACACAAGGGCCGAAAGCTTCAGAACGTCGCCATTGCCACTCGTGGAGCTGAGTATAAACATTACGCATCAAGTAAAAAGAATGATGAATAGGTACGCGCAAATACATAGCGCCAATCTCAGTTAGACCTTCTTATTCTCTCTCACTAGAAAAAAGTGGAAATCCCTCCGATCAATATTTCGTCTCTTTTCCTCGCTAGAGATCTGGTTCGAAGGAGTAGTCTGTAACATGTAATAATACTTCCCTATAAAAATAAAATCGAAACTTTCATTTACATTTTCTTCATTTTCTTCATCCACACTCACACCCAGGCGCGAGTGCGACTCACTGTTTCTTTTTGTTTCCCCGAGTCTTCTCCGACTTCTTGGCCACGGTCTTCGGCTTGTTCGCGATGGCCTTCGACTTCGTGCTGGCAGTGGTCGTGGAGGTTGAAGCTGCTTTCTTGCGTTGAGTAGTGGTTTCTTTCGCCTTGGCTGGGTTGCTCTTCGAAGCCCCCGACTCCGCAGTACAGCGCGACTTCTTACTACCACCAGCACCAGGCACCGACACGGTGACAGTAGCATCTTCACTTTCGCCACCAGTAGCATCTACATGCTCGCCATCTCTCTGCCCTTCCTCCGCGTCCACGTCCATGTCCACCGGGTCTTCATTTCCAGACGCAGGCACATCAGCAGCACCAGCAGCTTCAGCACCACCTTCAGGCGCAGTCTCACAGCCATCACCATCAGCACCACCTTCAGGTCCAGTCGCACCATCACCACCTTCAGGTCCAGTCGCACCATCACCACCTTCAGGTCCAGTCGCACCATCATCACCTTCAGGTCCAGTCGCACCATCACCACCTTCAGGTCCAGTCGCACCATCAGCACCAGCTGCAGGCGCACCATCAGCACCAGATGCAAGCGCAGGTGTAGTACCAGCACCAGCTACCGGCGCACGTGTAGTAGTGGTTGTGGTCGAGGGTTCCTTGACACCCAGCAGCATGCGGAGACCTGCCGGCGCCTTTGCCAACTTCTCATCCACCTCGTTGACCGCGGCAACTTCTACATCATCCTCATTCTTGGAATCCTCCACCAGCTCCGGCTTCTCGATGGTCGGCAATTTACGTTAGAAGAAAATGACTGCAGCGTCTGAATCTTTCAGAACACAACATGACGCTGTCTTCCGAAAGATTCTGACTCGGACTGCCAAGTATAGCAAAGCAAAACACGACTAGCACAATTCTACCAAAAGCACAGCGTCAACAACAACATCAACAACAACATGCACAACCCGACATAATTGTAATGGATTTCCCAGTCACGGAAAGTCTGTAATGAGGATTGGGGTGGAGATGAGTTAAGGTTTGCTGCGGATAAATTTAAGTGGATAAATGGTCTCTGTGATTGTGAGTACTAGTCTAGTTGAAGTTGTAGCTGTAGTTGTAAGCTGTAGGTGTGCGCATCATCTGAAGCTTTCACAAAAATGGTCTCAACATCTCAGTTAACTTCTGAATCTTTCGGAAAAGTTTAGATGTACAGTGACCCGTGGCTGCAGAACGACGTCACAATCTTCCTCCGAGCAGCGCCACTCCAGGGCCATATCCGGAAGATTTCGCAGGCACAGAGGTAGCGGGATACTCATGTCGTCCATGAAGTCGTCAAGTTCATCGGACCCACCCAACAAGGCGTCCTCGCCGTCTTCTTGGAGAGGCTTGGCCACTCGGCGACCAAAGAGCATCAGTGGCAGCCGGGCAGGAACCACCGAAGCGACGTCGCTCTTGACTCTGAGCTCCTCGTAGGCAGTGGACTCGTCGACCCATTTATGTTAGAGAGTGGGATGAGGGATCGATAGGGAAAAGAGGGCGAACCAGGCTACTTCTTGACGTTGATGCTGCTCTTGCATCAGTCTAAGTTACAGCTTCACTTTAGTGCTTCTTCTACTTGAACTTGTACTCATGTAAGTATATGTATATCAGTATCAAACTCTAACTCAATTTGAATTTCAAAAATCTAAATCTAAATCAAAAACAAATACAAAAACAAAATCAATCCGAATCCTCATCATAATTGTAATGGCCGATCTTGCACCGGACCCCAGCCGAAGGCACCTGTTGATATTGGTTGGCGTTGGGGAATAGGAGATAATAGCCTTGGAGTGACAAGGGATAGTAAACACAAAAGCTTGAGCATGAGTTTCAGCTTGAGCCTCAACTTGTGTAGCACCAGCGGATACGGAGACAGAAAATACGCAGGAAGAGTCGTCAGTGATGTCATAGAAACAAAATCAAAAATAGCACCGCCATGCTTTGCTCCCATCGCAGCAGATACAGAACGCAAAACTGCTCGCCCTCTGCTGCCTTGAGTTGGAATGCCAAAGCATTGATCTGATCCTTATAATCTTGCTCCAAAGTGGCGACGCGCAACTTGTGCTCCTTCTCAGTCTTAATACGCTCCCGAACCTCCTCGTCGGTATTATCCTGAGAAGCGGATATGTTACGCAGCATCTTGCTCGCCTTACTTTCTGCTTTTCCGAACGCGCGAAGCTTTAGCTTGAAATCAGCTTCCTGGAATGCGAATGGTGAAGGTGAAGGTCATGGAGGGGCGATCTAGACTTTCTTTAAGGTTTAGATTGTATCTGTGATGGTCATGGTGTTTTGGTTTTTGATTTGGATCAAGATCTCTGGATTTAGATTTAGCTTAAGATTTAGATTTACATTTAGACTTAGTTGTTACTGTTTCTGTTTCTGTTAGAGTTTGAGTCAGACTTACTAGTACTAGAAATCGAAATGGAATAAGAATTAGAAGTAGTTATACCAGTTCTCTTTTTTCCTTCTTGAAGCGGATCTCCTGTTGCTTCATGCGTTCCTCAATTGCCTCCTTCTCGGTGGACTTGGCTGTCGTCTCCACGACAATAGCCGGCTCTCCGTTTGCTGCAGCCCATTTGGAGCCCTCTGCAAAAGCAATGTCAACATGCATACTTTTCTTCAGCTTAATCGCGTTCGCTGTGGTGAGTCGTGGAGATGGGAATCGGTTTCGACTTTCGGCCACAGAGAAACTTAAGGAACCACATTGACAAGGATGAGACTCTGACTCACATGCAAGCACTTTCACACTCGCTGGTCTTCCTTATCCTTCTGAGCAAGAACATTGAGACTGTGACTGAGATTGAGACTGAGCCATGAACAACAATAACAAAAAAGTATTACAGTAGGGCTTGTTTCGAGGCACCACGGCTAGCGTCCCGTACTTTGCTCCGCGCACGGCTGCCTCCGCGGAGATAATCGAGCCGATTGCGTTCATTGCCATCTATTGGATTTGGGAGCAAGGTTCTGGATACGGACATCGAAGGTGGTGAGGACAAATACGAGGACAGTTTGCGAGGAAGTGCAGGACAACAAGAACAACAAAAAACAACTAGAAAGTGCCTGCTGTTGCTTGAACAGCCTCACTTTGTCTGGGTCAGCATACGGCCACTCAATCGTGGACGCCAAGTCTGCGTCCTCTGGGCTTTTGGCCCAGGTGCGACCGTTCGTGCTCAACTCGATAACGCGCTCCAGGCTCGAAGTTTAGAAGGGTCATTAGGGGGTTGGAGGGGTAGGTATTCAAAATAGAATCCGAATCATTCAGTATCAGTTTGCGCGGAAAGCGAAATCGCAAACATGCCTACACTTCCACAGCCATCACGATCACTATCATCTTCGTTATCGAGCCTTAAGTTTCCTCCTCGCCTTCCGCACCCGTAGGCACAGTCAGCATGATTGTTTTGCGATCCGATTCGTCGATCTGTAGTGGGAGTCGTGGAGAAGAGGTAGAATAGGACGAGGAAAAGTAGTGGTAGTGGTATGGTCGTGGTGTCGACTACTACATCATCATCTACTTCCACATCAGCATCAGCAAAAACGTCTTCAACTTCATGCTCATGAGAAACATCATCCAAATTTTCAAAAATGAAAAATGACGAGCAGGAGCAGGAGCGCGAAGATTTAGTACCTTCACGCTCTCGTTTTTCAGCCCTTGCTTGATGACTTCGCAGATGATGAAAGACGTGATCATATTGAACTCCGTGCGAACCCCCATATCTGCATTGATGTTGCTGATCACCAAATCCACGATGACATCCGCCTCCGTCGACTCGATATTAATCCCGTATTTCAACCACAGCCGACAGCCGACAAGGAGAATTGCCTCTCTCACGGACGTCCGCTTATACTTCATGTCTTTGACAAGGCCCAGCATTTTAGCCCTGAAAGAGAAAGTACGAGAATGAAAATGGTTTAAGGCTTAGGAGAATCGAATGACAATATGGGAGTAAGGAGATGCAAATGAGGTTAGAAACGATGGCTCTTGTTGTCAATGTACTGCCAGAAGATAACGTGCTCAAACTCTTGCTCCTGCGCCTCCGCCACCACCTGGTCTAGGTCTTCTAAAACTAAATCTAAATTTATCAGGAGATATACTTCAGCCAAGCTGGGCACTTGCTTTCGTGTTTGGACGTTCCATAGTGCTTCGTCAGATGAATCCATGCAGACGACTCGTCTCCCCAGCGTTCGCGATGGCAATGTTTAGAGGTGGGCATTGGGGATGAGGGTCAGTCTCGTCACATGTCTACACTAACAACTACAACTACATCTTCATCTAGTTCAAGTTCTAGCTCAAGCTCCAGATCTACAGTTATAATCCATGAGCAACTCAGTGAAGACCTCAGACGCCAACTCCATCTCGGGATACCAGAATGGGTCCATAAATTGACTTAAGATATCAATCTCCATCTCGTTAGCAACACCAGTGACGTGTCTCTGTATTCGTAAGGGTTGATTGTTGTTGATGATTCTTCTGCTGTTGATATTGATGCCCTCTAGTCTCTAGTAGACTCTCTACTTGTTGCACTTGCAGTTCTTGTTCTTCTTCTTGCTGTTGCAGTTGCTCTTGTCGTGGTTGTAGTTGTTTGGTCATTCTGTTAGCAAAAAACAGTACTGGTGCTACAAGTTTTAGCTTGCACCATCGTCAAAAGCAAAACAGTGGTAGAGGTTGTTGCTGTTGATTCGTATTCATGTCCCTGCGCATGTCAATGCTGTTGCTGTAGTTGTTCTTGTTGTACTTGTGTTAGTGCTAGCTGTACTCGTACTAGTAGCGTAGGTGACATTCACACGCACACTCTCACTCACATGCACATCCACACTCACACTCAATGTGAATATAAGTTTGATATTGATTTAGATCTAAGATCTTTATTTTTGCTTATGCTTTAAGTTTAAGTTTAACTTTTACTTTTTGCTTATCATGCTTTTGCTTATGCTTTTCATATTCATTATCATAATCATTATCATTGTCATTCTATTTCTAATTCTTATTCATGGTTGTGCTGGATAAGGATATGGATTAGGGAGAAGGGGGAGTACGCGATAGAAAGCCAGCTTGCTCGTCTTTTCGAATTTCTTCGGTTTCTCCTCACCGCTCTTGGCGGCCTTGGCAGCCTTGGCCTTTTCCAACGCCTCGTTTCTTTCGAACAACTTTGCAACCTGACAATGAAGGGGGTGAAGCAAGCGAATACAAAATGCAGAAGTGAGATAAAAGCTCGCGCGCGAGCAAATGCGAAGTCAAAGACAGGCTCCGCCACGAAAGTGCCACAAGGACGCTGTAAGAAAAAACCTGTCTCCCCAAGATCAAAGTCACACGTGATCTCGAAAGCGAAAGCGAAAGGTACTCCTACTTGTAAGTGCTACTAGTACTACAAAAACTGCAACGCCAAGTCCAACGGAAGCACGTGCTTGCACTTGTGGCGGTGCATGAAGATGAGCTTGAAGCTGAGCCTGAGGCTGAGCTTGAGGCTGAGCTTGAGCATGCACATGTCTATAACTATGTCTAAGTCTATGTGTATGCGTATGCCTAGAACTAAATCTAAACAGTCTAAATCTAAATCGAAATAGAAACTGAAAACGAAGCTCAAGTCTAAAACACAGTGAAAGTCTTAATCATACTCTAAGCCCAGGCCGAGGCCTAACGCTAACCCAGACTCTATATCTAACTCTGACTATGTCTTAGACTAATGTCTATGAGTATGACTATCTGAGTCTCTCTCTCACTCCAGGCATCGCGAAGTCTAAGGGCAAACGAAAACCCATGTCACCATTAGAATCTGGCACACGCAGAGCTACGTCGACAACCAAGAAGCAGAAACAGAACCTGAAGAAAGGCAGCACGAAGGAGCGCGAACAAGATCACGACGGGGAAGCAGAAATAGACGACGGGGGAGAGAAGTCAGGCAGCTTGACCGTAGACGACTGCAGGGAGTTCGGAAAGCTACTCGAGAAAGACTCAGGGAGGCAGAAGACCGCGGGCGCGTTGTATCGCATGTGCTGGCTCTTCCAGTGCCTCACGGGCCGCCGGGGGGTGGACATAAGGCGCACGACCTTAAACGACATCGCGGACGACCTCACAAGGGTGAGAGTGGGCAACTCCAAAACCGCGAAACAAAAAAACTCGAGGGGAAAGCTGCAGTGGATTCCGATTGCACCTACCCCCGAGACGCGCAAGTTTCTGAAGCAGACGATTCAGAAACTGCAGAGCAGCGAGAGCTGCGACCACTCCGCCAGGATCTTCCAGTTCAACTACGAAGCGATGGAGAAGAAAATCAGAACTTGCCGGAAGGTTTTCCAACCTAAGGGGCGACACAGTTGCCCCAGCAGGCTGATAACATCCCACACCCCGAGGAGAAGCCTGGCAACACACCTCTACCGCAAGAACATCGGCGCAAGGACGATCATGGCGATGACAGGCCACGCGTCCCCGGATAGTCTGGTGCACTACATCATGCAAGACTGGTGCTTTCGAAAAGAGGCAGCGGAAACGGTACAACTTTAGCACAAGCACTACCACGAAAACGAACACGAAGGCAACAAACTGAAGCAGAGGAACGCCAACGCCGACACGGACACCGACGCCCGGTCTTAAAGTTAAATCTTACGCTAATGCCTACGCTTAAGGCTAAGCTTTACTTTTAGATTTAGTTTTAGTTTTAGATTTAGATTTAGATTTAGTGTAGGCTTAGGTTTAGTTTCAGAGTCTAGCATTGGGATAGAGTTGGAAGTTAGTAGTACCCTCGGAAAATGCTTCAAAAATTTCTCGGAAAAAGTAGGCTCCATGCTCTGACTGCCGTCATTTTGACACAGCACGAACAAGTCCAGCAAATCCTCATAGTCCAAGATTTTCGGGCTGTACCAATTCACCTGGGATGTGAATATTTAGAAACTAGAGGTAGAGACTGAGACTGAGACCACATTTAGATTTACGCTTAGTCTCTCTTATCTGATCATGCAGTTGAAGTTAAAGTTAAAGATATTGATATTGATACTGAGATAGAGATGCTAGTAATAGAAATAGGATAGACCATCCAGTTTCTGTTTCAATTTCAATCTCAAATCCATCGACCTCTAATTTCTTACGTTACAAGTTGATGCTCAAGCTGATGAAGTTGAAGTACCGTCAATCCCAAGGTTTCGAACTTGGCAAGTCCGTGCTCCCTCTTGATTTCCAGTGCCATCAAGGATGCAAAATTAGAGACGTGCTGCTTCGGAATCGGAAATACTGATCGAACTCCGCATAGGGAAACGGGGACAGAGAGGGTGACGGGGTTGGAGTCGGGGAAGCGGAAAGGGGAAACTGTATTTGCTGTGATGCTACATGTAGACGAAATTTTAGTGCAATTACTTTCAGTCCAAGTGCTACTTGTTCTCGTTGTACTACAGATGCTGAGCCTTAATGTGTCGCCCTCCCAAAACTTCCGCGGTGCCGTTGATTAGTGGTTTTGCCATTGCATTCTCGAGCAAGAGCACAAGCGAGTAAAGAAAGAATATCTGTTCACCACCACCAACACCAAGTACGAGAAAAAGTAGAAGATCAAGAACAAGTACTGTACTAGAGAAAGAGCAGAAATAGGCTCGCATCAATATCAGAATCAGAATCAGTAGCAGCACCAGTGGCAGCACTACTTCTAAATCTAATTCTACTGCGGGACGCAATGCGGAGATCCTTAATGCCACCAAGTGAATCACCGTCGGCTTGAAGCGTCCCTTCTCGGCTTCGGTATACAACTCGGGAGTTAGAAAGAAGACGCCTTGAAGTTGAAGTTGAAGCTGAAGTCGACTATGACGACGAAGCCCAAGCCCAAACTTCACGAAGCTGCTAGGCTTGACTTTTTATGTGGGTTGAATCAAGATCAAGATCAAGAAAGAAGATAGACGCCATCTACTTGCGCAAGACTTCCAAAATGAAACCAAGCTCGGAGTTGAACTCAAATCAACAACACTATCAAGCATGCTGCTCCTGCTCCTCCTCCTGCTCCTGTTGTTCATCGTCATAACTTTACGCGCGACGGCTTCCATTAGAGCTATAGCGACATCACTGTCCGTTCTTGAGTCTGAGCGGGTTTGCGGTTAAGCTTAAGTTAAGCTTAATAAGTTTAAAACTTAAACTAAAACTAAATCTAAAATTTAGATTTAGATTCTAAATCTAAAAAATCTAAATGTATACGCAACTAGAACTACTACGACAACTAGTCTAGTTGAAGATGAAGATTGAAGAATGGGGATGGAGTTGAAGTAGAGCCAAAGTTTGAGACGCAAACTAACTCAGAGTCATCAGATAATCGGATGACAGAAGTAGTGACGTGTGTTGTTGGAGTTCGAGTACGAGTTGGAGCCCTAATTGTAACGGTTGTTGAACTTGGACGTTTTGATATTGTCCGCAATCCCTGGCGTCAGCGGCACGTCTTGTTCGGAGCTCTTGTCGAGAAACAGGCGGAGCTATTAGAAAGGAAGAGGAGGTAGAAAGGGAGAATCTTCCAGAAGGTGGGTAGTCTTTTTGTTGCTTGTAGACACGGACATCACTTCGCTTCAACGTCAACAACGACAACCCCGACAGCTAGCACATGAACAACGTCTACTTCTATACGACCATAACAAAAATCGTCCAAATCCTTTCGGCACGCAGCTCCTTCGGCATCCGTTCCATGCGTCTCATTCCACCAACTGACAAAGCTTTGAATTAGAACCATTCTGCGACTATACAGTACTCTTATGCCGTATACACGGTAGCCATAGCGATCATTACTAATCAGCCTTAATTTGACTGTGTCAGCCGAGGGTAAGGCTCCAGTTCTCTTAGCGATTTGCGCCACGTTCGCAACGGGTGCATTCGCACCAGCACCCGTAGCTAAAGAGCTACTAGACGACGCCATCGTTTGTTTGGTTTGGACTGATTGAAGAGGGATTCGACTCTTTCGAGCAAACTCATCAAGCAACTACGGACAAATTTGGATTGTTTGATTGTGGAAGGGATGGCGTGTCTGTAAGAGCAGCAGTCTTCATTTTTTTCTCTCATGCTGTGCAAATGACCATCGAAGACCGTGTAGCTCTCTTGACCTTTCTTCATGGATTATCTCTCCAGAGAGTCGCAAAAGGCCAGGAAGCATGTGCTTGAAGAGTCTGCAAGACGCGAATATAGGCAGAATTTCCCTTCTCCATCACTGCTTCCCAAACCCTCACTCTGAGAGCTTCAGCAGACCCTTCTGAAAGATTCAGCCGAAACCTCTCATTTTGGCCTCAAACCCAAAATATTCGGGAAAAAACCATGATTTTTTCCCGAATATTTAAGAAAAATCAAGGTTTGAGTGAAAATGGCTGAATCTTTCAGAAGAGGCCGATTTTGGCGAGGTTTTTGGCATCTTCTGAGTCCCCTTATGAAGTGCCCTAGGTGTCTCTAATTATGCTCTTTCTGAGGTAGCTATGCACATAAGCAACCTAGTGAGAGTCTCTTTCCTAGGTTCTTGGAAGCCTCTGAGAGTCTTCTATCCTAAAGACTAGCGACATCACGACTACCATGACACGGCAAGAGAGAGAGAGAACGCTTAGTGCGAGATCTCCTAGATGATGACGCTAGATCTACCCTACATGTGTCATTTCCGAAGGTGTTCGTTTGGTAATCCCCTGACGTTCCTATGGGCTGCGCCTGTGAATGCTAGCCCTAATTTTAGTTCTGCACCTGGCTCAAGTTTATTACATAGTGTTCACTTACACTTGGATATGTTGGGCGAAGATGTAGCCTAAAGACATCCAGCACGCTCAACTGGATATAGTGCTTTTTCATTTTCATTAGGTTGTGGTTGAGGACTACGATTATGATCTTGAGCTTGATCTATGTGTATGCGTAAGTGTAAGCTTCTATTTAAGTTACGTCTTTCAGTTTACATTTACTAGGTGCGATAGGTTGCTAGGCATTTAAAGAACATACTACGCGTGCGTATGAAGAACAGAAGCAGTAAACTCATACTTTAACTTTTACACTGAAGAACTAGAGCTAGAACATGAACAAGCACAACTACAAGCACAACAAGAACTAGAACAGACGATGGGTGAGCGTGAAAGAGAAAGTGTAGATGTACATGTAAGACGTAGTTGCAGATAATGATAAACCAAAATAGTTCTGTTAGTAGTACAGCTATCACTGTAAGAGGAAGTAGGTGTAGGTCTAGATGCTCTTACCGTCAATAGCTCTCAGTGTCTACGTAAGCGAAAGCCCATGAGTCTAGTTGTGCCCTCAGCCCCCTCCCTTACACTCTGTTTCTCAGTGGCCGCTACGTAGGACGAGGACACAGATAGATAATCAATTTTTTTCCTCGAGAATCATTATCATAGTCATAATCTTTATCTTAAACTAAAACTTAATCCATAGCCTAAATCTTAATCATTGTTTTGGTTCTCATCTCACATATATTTTGAACTTGAAGAAACTGTAAGCGTAACAGACTGCATTCAATGACTAGACGCTCTGACTTTTAGAGTTTTGCAGCTCACTACGAGTGCGCAGTCTTGTTTTCTTTTTCAAGAACAAGAAAAAGAATCAAGTACGTTTCTAGTTATACTCCCCTTCCCCTCCCCCAGTCCCACTCCCTCTCCCACAATGACAACAGTCATCGTGTCATCCCAACCCACCGAGCCCGAAGATATCTTAGACACCCACATGCCCATGCCAGATAACGAGTAACCGCTAGTAAAACTCCCGATATGCTTCTGCCTCAGGCGAAGTTGTCGGAATCTGACGCGAACGCGTGAAAGCGGTCTCCCTCCGTTGCTTCGATGTAACGGTACAACTCATCAAACGCGTCACTATTCTGCTGATTAGTTACATCCGGCAAGGCCCATCCGTTAGTTAGAGGCGAAAGGAGGAGGCGGAGTCCTTACCCTTATGGGTTAGGGTTACAGTTACAGTTAGACTGAGCGTAAGAGTATTTGTATTAGTACTTGTGCCAGTGCCAGTGATTCTATTTCTAATAGACTAATACTGATCAATCTTGAATAGAAACTTTACGTTTACCTTAATCTTAAATTTAAAAAAAAAGTTAAAATAAAATCTAAATCAATATCAAATTCAAAATCTAAATCCGTATACGATATCGATAAAGATTTCGACAACGGTTAGATTTAGACTAAGATAAACATAAAGATGCTCATACTCATAAACATAATCATACTACAAATACAATTGCTACTTCTACTAGTACTAGATATACAATTATACATATACATTTAGATTTTAAATCTAAATGTATATATAGATAATGATAAAGATTAAGACTTTGATTTAGATTATGATTATGATTAAGAATTAAGATTTAGACTAGGTCTAGCTCTAGGATAAACAGAAGCCTAAGCGTAAAGGTAAAGCGTTTTTAGAGTTAGAGTTTGAGTTAGAGTCTACGTCTAGACTATCGTCGGAGTTAGAGATAGAGATAGAATTAGAGACTAGGAATAGAAATAGACGTAGAGCTAGTGCTAGAACATGAACAAGAAGGAGAAGGACAAGGACCGGCTGACTGTAGTTCTACTTCTAGTGCTAGAAGTACTAGCTTAAGTAGCTCAGACTCAACCTCTAGGCTAGTGTCTTTGTCCTTAAGATTATTCTCACCTTAAGAGCAAGCACTGCGACTAGTGCAAGACCGTGAACAACAACAACAACAAGTAGAAACTAAAATAGATCATGAGTGGGCCTAGGTGTAGGCGAGTTCCTGTTCGACCAGATCCAGAGTGAGCCGTAGTACTAATAGTGCCTACTACACTTACACACCATCTTAGAACTACAACTATTACTAGTACTACGACTACCACTACGACAACGACTACAACTAGAACTACTACTACTCGAAGTAGTAGTAACTACTACTACTAGTAGTTTTTAGTAGTAGCACAAGTAGTACTACCTCAGTTACTGCTGCACTTCCTTAGTGGTTAGTGTTGGAACTAGAAGAGCTTCTTGCGTTTGGCAGCCGGAACCAGCTTCAGCATCAGCTTCAGCTAAGAAGCCTTTTCTAATTCGAAAGAAGAAACCAGAGCCACAACTTGTGAGCGAAGACCTCAGTCAACAGAGCGCGCCGCTTCGCCGTCACCATGGCCGGCGCAAGGATGCCCATTTGGACGCTTTTGGAAATGGTAAAGATTAGAGTCGGAAACATAAGTGAAAGTGACACCTTAGGAAAGCGGCATACATCACATACAAGCACAAGAGCAACCAGCCCCATCATGCTCCACAAGCAAGCACAACATCACTCCCAACGCCAACTACTAGCACAAGAAGATCAACACCAAGATCGAGCCAATGCAAGCCCAAGCAACTACACGGCCATAGCTTTACCGTGTCCGTTGTGTGCCCACGACCTTTCCGCTTTTTTCTACTCAGCAGCGGAATGTGGGACGTCCACGTGCCAGTCTCGGGGCGGAAAATTGTGTAGATAGACTTGAGCTGCGGGAAAAGAAGTCGCTCGGGAATGATACAATCCAAATCGTACTCGCCGCTGCTCGAATATGAGAGGGATTACAATGTTGGCGAAGTTAAGGCGCAAGTGGCCTAGACCTTCAAGGTGATAATCAAGTTGCCTAGCTCTACATGTTAACCTACGACTACGCCAGAATTGGAACTGCGCTTCATTTCCATAACCATCTAATCTCCCTTTCGCTGCGTGGTCCTCTGGCATAGAATCCGATCTGAGATGGGTCTCCCTCCTTGGTTTTTCGGTCCTTTCTCGGAAGATTTAGAAAACTTATGGAGGTGGTCGTGGTGAAGGTGAGCGATTCGTTACCATTGATAAATACCCCTGCTACTGCTTTACGTTTACCTTTACCACGAACAAGAATTTAAATTTAAAACAATGACTGTCATAAACATAATGACGTGATTTCAAATTCCAGTCCCTACTTTTACTGATGCCTTAGTATCACTTTCGTTGAAGTTTGGATTTGCGGAAAAATCTAAATCAGTCCCAGCATAACTTCAACACTGTGGCCATGTCCGTCTCTTTGGGTGCCCAGTACTCGTCTGCTGATCGGCACGAAACGATCGGGCGGCACCTCTTGGTGTCCCACGCCAGTGAAACCTCGGTAGCCTCGAGCCACTTGAACCTTAAGGATTAGATGCTCTAAGACTAAGAATCAACATACTAGGGAAGCCTGTGCCTGTGGCTCGAATAGAAGCGACTGCGAGAGTAGGAGTACTGAAACTTTCGATAAGACTCGATAACGCCATGACTTCTCAGAGCCAGGAACTCGAACTGAAATGGCGATGGTATCGAATTCGAAATCGATTGCGATACGCAAAAACAAATAAGTAACAAACTCAAATACAAAACTAGTAATACTTACACTTACACTTGGACTTGGTCTTGACCTTGAGGATGAGGGTGAAGGTGTAGGTGAAGTCTAAAAAATCTAAATCAAAATCAAAAACTATAACTAAAACTAAAACAAGAACAATAGTATCTGAGTGTGAGTCTAATATCTAAAACAAAAGCCCCAGCATCAGCTTCAGCTAGAGCTAGATCCATAATTTTGCGCAGTCGCAACCTTGTCTTTCACCACCCAGTGCGACAGTGACTCAACTGAGGTAGGAAGGACGATTAGAGATCTCCTCCACAACAACAACAGCGAACTTGGCGAAGGCGACTACCCCCTATCCCTTTGCCTGTCCCTGTCGATGTTCTTGATATAGGTGTCGAGATGGAGATTGGAGACTGGTAGCGAAGCTAGTTCGGGCGTGCTCTTGGTTCACCTAGTCACTTCTGTTTCTCTTAACAGTAGATAACGCGACACCGACTGAACCACCCCTCCGGCGACGGTTCGCGAGATGGCATCCAGACTTTGCGTGCTCATCAGACATCCTGCTCCACATACATGAAGGAGGAGCCCAAGCGCGGCGCGTTATGGCTACGTGTAGGCCCTTGTCCTATCTAGTTGCAATTGAGTTTGACTTGATCAATAATGATGGCTATGGAGTGTGAGTCTGAATGTAAGCGACGATGTTGGATATACTAGTACTAGACTACGACTCGGATTACATTAGTATTAGAATTAGAAATAGAGTTACTTTATGTTTATCGTTATGGTTATGTTTATCTTTATGCCAACCTCCAACAGTTGGACTTGCACTTGGAGTTGGCATAAAGTAAAAGGCAAAGTCTGAGTTTTTGTTTTAGTTTTACTTTTAGAAAGTCAAAGTCTAAGACTAAGGGAAAGGGTAAGGGAAATGGTAAGGGTAAGGCAAAGCTTACAAATAGAAATAGAGACTAGGACTACTAGTAATGGAAATGGGTTGTCTTAGACTTAGTCTCAGTCTTAGACTTACTTGGACTCGTGTTAGCGAAAGTTTCGCTATTAGTACTGGTACTGGTAGTGCCTCGTATTATGATTCTCATCGAAGCCATAGTTTTCTTTGGCAAACCACAAGAAGTAAACTCGTGTATCGACATCGACTCCCTTGCGTGCAGCTGGCTTTCGCACTAGTGCGCCCAGCGGAATTTTGAAGTTGATCGGCTTACCGAAGCTGACTCGTGTCAGAGGGAGCACGTCCCATCTATCGTCATCGAGGATAGCGGAAGAGGGTGCGCCTCGACCGCGATGGTCGAAAGGGCCACGATCTTCACCATCGTCTTCTTCGTCTGCGTTCCTGTGCGGGTACTCGTCAATCATGTTGTCCACCTCTTCTAACGCTGCGTCATACATAGGATGGAGGTAGTCGTTCGGGTTGAACCCGTCTTCCAGCTCCGGATGACGCTCGGCGAAGTCGGCTGCTAGGTCCTTTTCTATCTTCTTCGGATGCAGCGGGAGACCCTGCAGGGCACCCCACTGCGCGAGTCCTGGGTTCTTGTTTCGGCTGTAGCGGTTATCCGTAGCTTTGCTAAAGCGCTTCCAATCCTCGTAGGAGAGAGGGTCTGCGCGATCCCGCCTAGACCTAGCCATGGATACGCGACGGGATAGCGATTGGTGATGTTGCAGTGGGAGTGGAGATGATGGCATCCACGTTTTTGCTTAAGAAAAAGAGATTACAACTCTGACTGAAATCAAAACTATCGACTAGATTCTTTAGTAGTAGTGGAAGAGGAAAGCCTTCGAGGGAGAGCGCTAAGTCTGTTTAAAGATCAGTCTCGTGTGCGTCAGCGTCTACGTCTTTGTCTACAACTACGGCTCCTAGAGTTCGCCCATAAGAAGGTGAAGGCCCTTAAAGAAACATAAATACCGAACGGAAACCCTTTCCGCTTTGATCGCCGGCGCTTTCTCATTAGAAATGCAACAAGGAGTGAGACGCACCTTCTGAAACTGAAACTTTCAGACTCAGTTTCTGTTTCAGTTTCAGCTGAAGGATTGCATTAGAATGCTGCACTTGCTCTTCACTCTTGCATCTACCACTACCAAAACGTCTAATATCAACGCGAATGGACTTGGGCGTAAGCTTCTTGTGCTGGGCAACCTGCGAGTTTTCGCTCTCCACATACTGACTTGCAGGGACAGCAGCTGGAACGAGTGGCACAAGTAAGGCCTGCATTTCCTCAGTAAGCCCCTGTCCGTCGTCTGCGATTGAAGTCAACTCCTCTGCATAAGCGACTTTCAAATAGTTTGTGAAGTCGCAGAAGGAATTCATGTCACGAAGCATCGCGTCTGCGGTGAGCCCACGAACCAGATGGTCATCCGAGCACAGCAGCAAGGCAATGTTAGAGGTAGGCTTTTGGTGTTTCTGTTCTTGTAGTCGATGTCCATAAAATCAGAAAGATTCGAATTGGGAATGGGAGTGCTTCTAGATCGAGACTCCTCACACACCAACATCTTCGACTTCGTCATGCATCAACATCGCGACACTGATGCATGATCATAATCATCATCTTACCCTTTTAGTTAACAGAAACACCTAAAAGCCAAAGTCAAAATCAAAAAGTCCTACAAAGATAGGGAAACGAGTTAAGCTGCGCCTCGCGAGACGGCAACAGCACAGAACTACTAAGCATCAGGAGGAACGTGGGCAAGTCCGGAAGCACAATTAGGTTTTGCGCGATCAAATTCCGAAAGTATTGTCGCTTCTTGGCTCTTGGAGCTCGTTCCACGATGGAGCCGATGCTGGCACCTGATAGAGCTTCCTTCTGATAGCGTTGCAGCTTTGCTGACTGGCTCTGCATCGGCGTGAGGCCTCTCCTTAAAGACGCTAACATATCCCAAAACTTGTCATCCTCAACCGCCGCTTTTGCCGTCGCGGGTTAGAACAGCACGCAGTCCCGGTCCGAAACTTTCGGGCCGGAAACTCCTGCTCCTGGTAGTGATAAGAGAACACAAGAGGATCAAGAAGAGGAGCAACGCAATCACATACGAGAAGGCTCTGGCTTTCGCTTTCTCAAGATAGCCATCTTGTAGAAGGAGATGCAATTGAAATTTTAGATGTTGCGGCTAGTTCTAGACCTAGTCACTAGAACTAGTCTAGACCCTTCATAATTTAAGATTGCGCGATTCTCGGTTCTCTTGGACTCCTCCGAAACGCTGCGAATCCCCTGCTTGATCTGGCCCCTCTTCTCCTCCAACGGTGATTAGAGGCCTGCTCGTGCTCGGAGTTCAGCTACAAGTTGGAGATCGGGAAGGAGAACGAGACAGCGACGCACAGTGAGAGATATAGATGGTAATGGCTATGCAGCCTAAGCTTATGGCTTTACATTTAGATACACATATAGTCACTCTCGCTTTCGTTTTTAAATTTTACTTCTGTCTTTGTGTTTTCAATATTTAGTTCTGCTTGTCGCTGTCCGAGTACATACCGCAGTCTTTATCCTTAAGCTGTAATCGCGGGAAGCAGCGACATCCAACGCGTAGAAACGTACTCTGGTACTTCGGTTTCAATACTGTCAACCCACATGTTAACGGCGCTACTAACTCTTTTAAGCTGCTCGATTGTATCCGGTCGGATAACGTCGGCAAACTCCGCTAATTCTCTCGAGTGCAAATTTATGAAAGGAAGACAAGAGTACGAGTAGAGGCAGATGCAAAGGGGGGAGAGGAGCTAGCTCAACCACTTCGTCTCACGATGTAGCTGTATGATCTTCGAGCTCGATCTCTATCACGAACACGAAGTGGCGATGTGCTTGCACATGCACAGTACATGTACAAGCACATCTACAACTACAATGCTACATGAGGCACTGGCACATGCGCATCCACATCAAAAACTAAAAGAAAAAGTGATAACGATAAGGATCAGGATAACACAGTCTAAATCTAAATTGAATTGAGGTTCCGTAAGATCATACTGGTGCATCATGCACACACTTTGATGCAGGTAAAACTGCAAGTACTGTTTGCGGCCGACAGCTCGAGCATGTCTTAAAGATCGCATGACTCGTCTCAGACGTCGCGCTGCTTTCAGCTGATCGGATCCGGCATCGCTCACCCAGCACCAGACCACAACCGGGTCATCCGGATACATCGAGCTCGTGGCTCCTGGACACGGTACGCCAAGAGGCGCTAGCAAGATGTAAAGATCGTTGATGACAGAACACCAGCCACCGCAATGCAAAACGCAACCAGGGTAGACAGGCTCCACAACGACCTTCGTCTTTCGGTTCCCTGTGTCTTCGTCGGTTTCGTAGGTTGTGCGCACGATGAGGACATCAACATTGAAAACCTTTTCACGTCGAAAAGTCGTCGCGTCCGCGGAGACCCTGATGATGAGGACTGGCCGATTTCGGGCACGATCATAGCACTCGACAAAGGTCTCTCTGGGATCTACATCATCTTCGTCGGGATGTTGATCATCTGCTGCGCGACTACTTCCTCCAACCTCGTTTTCGATAGGGATAGAGCTTCTTCGCCTCTTTCCTGTTCCGGATCCTGTCCCGCCGAGACCGAGACCATTTGTAGTTGTAGATGATGACGCGTGTGGCATTTGCGGCTCGTCACGGGCAAGAAGATCGTCTTCCTGGTCATCCAAAAGTTGAGTTGGATCGTTTCGCTTCTGCTTTTTACTAGAAGGCGAATCGTGTTTGGATGTCTTCCCCGCTTTTGCAGACGACTTCCCGTTCTTGTCCCCGGATGTCTTCTTCATCTTTAGAGACGACTGCCCTTTCTTCTTCTCTATTGCGTCCACCGCTTGAGACGACAGCGTGTTGACCCCTTCTAGGCGGATGTGCTCCCTTTGCTTCTTGGACTCGGCCGTCTCCAAGCAAAAGGAGTAGATGGACGAACTATCAGCATCACCTCGGAGCAGAACTATGCGTAGAGCGTTTCGAAGAGGTTCACTCAGCTGTCTCTCGTCGTTCATTCGCCCCAGGGTGCCTGGTTTGGATGAGGGCAAGGATAAGGAGTTGCAGTTGGAGTCCAAACGGATAAGACATAGGGAGAGTAGTGCTAGTAGTTCTAGTTGTAGTTAGATCTAGATTTAGATTATCATTCAGAAAGTGTAAGTGAAAAAGAAAATGTAAACTAAAAGTGAATGAAAACCAAAATCAAAATCTAAATCAAAAGTAGAAGTAGTCTTTAGATTTTTTAGAATTAGAAGAGACTTAGCGTTTGTCTTACACTTACACTTACTGTTAGTGTTAGACCAGGACTAGCACTAGTTGCCGTTGCGCTTGCGGTTGCGCAACTTCAACTTGTAAAACTAAATCTAAAAGTAAAAGTAAAAGTAAATTAAATTTAGATTTTACTTTTACTTTTAGACTTTTTAGATATAGACTAAGATTAAGATCGTTTAGATTTAGACCAAGGCCTACTCCTACACGATCTACATTTAGATTTATTTTGAATTGGAATTATTTCTAATTCTATTTAGAATTAGATTTAGATTTAGATTGAGTCTTAGCTGCTCCTGCTCGCGCTCAAGTGCTACTTGTCCGCGTCCTCGCCCTAGCCTATGCCTAACAGTTACAGTAGAAGTAAAAGTATAAATAGTAGGAGTTTGCTACAAGTCCTTTCGTATTTGTTTTCGTACTGCGAGCGCGAGTTGTTGTCGTGCTTGTAGTACTCGTAGTAGTTGTAGTCCTCTAACTTCAAGAACGGACGGCGGCGCGGATGCGGTGTCGTGGATGCGGCTGTTGTACTTGTCCTCGATCTGATTGAGCCAGATCGAGATATAAGAAGAACAAGAAGTAGCTCAAGTTACCAGTCCCCAGATGGCGCACACGCTCCACCGTCCGGGCGTCGAGACGCTTCCCGAGCTTATCCTCCGACCTCAACGCAAATCTGACTAGTGCGTCGCGTTTGCGTCTCATTTGGTTAGAGCGTCCTTCTGACGGGTAATGGAGGAAGTGGAAGGCGAAGGCTCGCTTGTAGACCTAGAGGTAGACGAAGACGCTGGTATAGACTTAGACTCACTCCCCTCCCCCCCTCCCCCACGAAGATAGCCATAAGCTGTGTCTGATACTTTTCGTTTATTTCAGTTTTCTCCTTCACCGAGCCCTCCATCTGTAGCTGACAGTACAACAACGGCCGACCAACAGAAGACGACGACGCAAACTGTTCGAACAGCGAGTAGAGATTTGGGTCTAAGGTATCATTCAGAGCGCGGCTCACCTTGGCCTTTGTTCGCATCTGTTTCTCTCGCTCTAGCATGATGTCGACCGTTTTGTTCGCTACTTCGTCTTCGTCGACCTCCACGTCTGGACTCTCCTCATCGAAGAACTCCTCCAAGACGCTATCGCCCAACAACTTCTTGTGTTTGTGACCTGCAAACTCCTCCCAAGACATGACCTGCCACGTCTGCACCTCATAGTTCTCATGCATTCCAGCCAGGCGCGTTTTATGGCTTACAACGCCTTTGTGATCGCCCAGAAGTAGTTGCATCGTGGAAATCTGTGGGTTTGAATTTCGAAAGATTCAGAAGCAACTAGAACTACAACAGCAACTACTTCCGAAAGAATAAGAAAATGGCAACAGATGCAGAGTCAAAAACAGAACCGAGAGTCACAGCCGAAAAAGAAGAAAGAGAAAGTGAAAAGCTTCAGCTGCTACATCTACCAGTGGAAGTCAACAAGCGATAGAGAACTGTAGCACCTTCTTCGCCGATGTCGCATTTCCGACGCCCATGCAGAAACCAAGATAGTCTTTCTTTTCGGCCACGGTTTGCAGCTTGTCTAGATACTTCAGGTCAATAAGATCGGCAAGATACTTCCCTACACTGCTCTCCAATCGCTTCCCAACAGCTTCTACCTGTAAGAGAAAGATTGATGGACTGAGCGGAGACCTTGACCTTGGCCTCCATCTCGACCTAGACCACGCGTAGTAGTTGTCGTACTGTTTCTTCTCCTTGATGTGGTACTGGTACTACTACCAGCTTGTTGCGCAACTACTTCTACTAGTACTAGTAAGGCTGAGCGTGAACGAGCATCAAGATGGAGAAGGAGACGTAGAAGAGTAACGACATCAACAAGAAGATGACGACGAAGAACAGTCTCTAGCTCGATCAACATCAAAAGCAACTATCTGACGTTTACCTCCTCAGCATGACGCCTGGCCTTCTCTGCACGTTTTTCCTTCTCCGCCTCTTCTCGTTTCGTGCGTTCACTGTGTAGCTCGATGTCCATGTGAACTTCGTAGCGCGCAGCAAACGCCTGTCTGACGACGTCGTAGATGTGGGTTCTTGGTGCAAGCGCAGCCTTTACCAAAGTCTTGGATTGTTCTGGGTACATTCTTCGCCACATCTTCGTGAGGGAGTGAGCGCTGGGAGCCTCACTCCTTGGCTGTCGATGTCCATATTGTTGGCGGTCCTCTCTAGTTTCGGATATATAGAAGGACTTGAGTTCCCTTTCGCACTCTACGAAAAACTCCGCGGCAGATTTCCACGAGTCGACTTTATCCATCTTCGCCTTCACCCATTCGCGAGTAGCTAGTTCCCTATCTTCTGTTTGCTCAGCGTCCCAGCCACCGCCATATACGAATCGGCGGGCCTCGTCCTCGATCTCCTGCAAAACCATAGGGCCATCGATGAGCATGGCATCACCAAGTAGATGCTCTGGCTGTGGTTCGGCATCGACGACACGCGGTGGCGACGGTGGAAGCGCAGGCTCCCAGTGGTCAGGATCGCCGGGTCCAGGTGCCAGTGGAGCTGCGCCAACGGGCCGGGGACTCCTCGGCCGAAGAGACAGATCAAAATCTGGCTTCACCATTTCTTTGGCTAACTGCCGATGACCTCGAGGTCACGACACAAGCCGAAACTTTCGCAACCGGATACGCAGAAGCAGACTGAAGGACGCGAACGGATACGAAGCGAAACGTCAATAATCTTGTCTCTTCGTCTTCCTCTTCCCTCTGATTCTGTATATCAGTTTACATCTAGGAAAATAAGGTCGATCGACGATACACTTACACATGGAGATGCACATACACATACTGACGCTGATGCTTTAAGGTGGGCCCTTCACTTTGACTTTTCGTCTTTTTTTCCTTACCTTTTCTTTTGGTTTTGCTTTTTTGAGGATTCACTTCTACAACTACAACTTCACTCAGCTACATGCACATCTACAACTTCAACATCTACAACGCGCTCGGACTCGCGTCCCCGTGGAGTCTCTCTTGCGCGTGCGCTCTGCGTCTCTCTCTCTCTGTCTCTCTTGTACATGCAACGCCCCAGGCGTTCTTGGTCTCGGGCGAGACCAGATCCAAAAGTTCCCGAAACATTCTACATCTGACGTTAGTCTAACACTAACTCGAGCGCTAGATCAAACGCAAATGAAGCGCGTAGATGCAGTCGCAGCCACCTCTGGAGCACCTGGCAAGAAATAACGATCCGGAGCATCGATAGCGAAATCGGAGACCGGCGCTGTGGATTTGGTTTAAGAAAAGATGAAGCTGAAGATGAAGCTTGTTGCTAAAGCTAAGTAGCGATAAGAGACAAGACGATCATCAACGTGAATCCCTATGCCTACAGAAACGGCGACAAATGAGCTAGTTGCTAGGAGTAACAACTGTTAGCAAAGTCAGTTGCATAAGTATAAGAAGAAGTTCAGAGTGAGCGTAGGAGTAAGATCACATCACCTCTCATTCCTCGGCTGCTGCTGTATCACGTCACGCGATGGTTTCAAGTTTTTCAATCCGGGGACCAGGCACCGAAAACAACCTACCGGAGAAAAACCAAATGCGTTATGGATACTCAGAGCTCGTAGCAGTGCACTTCCGGAATGCCGAATGAGCTGGAATTTGTTCGAAAACCCTGTCGAGAGAGGCAATTGCGATTCGAGCAGACCTGGGATCTTTTTGAATGGAAAGAACTGGAAGCCTTAAAAATTCCGGATATTCGCATCGATTCTTGAAAATTCGGAACGGACGTTTTTCCACTTGGAGAACTCGCTGTGCAGAAAACTCGAAAATTCGGATCCCTTTCAGAATATTCTAAAAAAAAGTCAAGCCCTATAAAAATGCGAAGAGTTGTGGTTTTGGGAGTTACAACAACTCTTGAAACACCCATTGATGAGCAAAAAAATCAAGATGAGATCACAGGATGAGGCTCAAAGTGAGATCATAGGTTCGGAGGTTTCAGATGAAAAATATATTTCATTTTTATGGTAAAAAAAAGGGTCCAAAAAGTAGACCCTTCAGAATTCTCAAAAAGTCGCGCGAGAAGGTTGCACGAATTACCAGGTCAGATTTGCATTGTGTCAATTCATATCGTCCTCGAGAAGAATTCATATATTTTAGCTACTGAAGAACGAAAAGGATAATAGATGCTTGGCAGGGCTTTCGGTATTCTCACTCTCAAACAAACCTAATGAGTCATCTTTGTCCCCTTAACATCAGCAGTGACTTCAAGTGCAGTTTCCGTGTTGTTCGTTGTACTGGTCAAAAAGCTAGTCAGATTCAACTCAATTTGCAAGGCTTTCGTGATATTCGCGTAGGGATCTGGGAAAGCATTCGCATCTGCAAACGCGGGAGCGACCCCTTTGTTCCACAATGACCAAGCACGAAGAGCAATAGCTTCGGCATTCACCGGGATGACGATGGAGGAGTTGCGAGATTGTTGGAGAGGATAACCAGTTAGCTAACTATCTGTGCTGGCTGCGTACATGCAAACGAGAAGGAGGCCGCGAGCCCCTTGGCCCCCCTTGAGGCCTTCCACTTCCGCCCTTGAGGCCTCTGCGGGACAGCCAAGCAGCTGGGAGGAAGCGGAGGCGGCCCCCCTTGAGGCCCTTTTGAGGCCTTCCACCTACGTCCGAGGCCTCTGTGGAGGGGCCCCAAGCACCTGAAAGGGGACAGGGGGGGCCTTTTGAGGCCTCCCCCCCCGGCAGAGGCCTCAAAAAGGGGGGGGGGCGTCGCCCCGCGCCCTGGAACATATATACACATCTACTTCTTATTGAGCATCAACGAAAACTTCCATAACCAGTTGTCCCATTCACACCACCCGTTAGCTGACTATCTGTGCTGGTTGCGGCTCGATCCTTGGTGACGCCACCATGAATACCTTGGACGAGCTGAGAAGCACCGCCTCCTTCACCAATCCACACTCTAGGGACTCCCCAGCGGTCAGGCTCTACGAAATTCGCTACAGAAGTCGTCGGGTTCGAAGATGTGGGTTAGAGAAGTTTGGTGAACAGTTACAGTAGTTCTTGTGACTGAATGAAAAACACGCAGAAAGAGTTGTAACGAGAGAACAAGTATCCGCATTGAACGCGAAGAAAACTAGTACACTCACTGCACTCGCAGGTGGAAAGCCTTAATCATCACACCGGAAACTGATCGAGCACACTTCAGTCCAAGACGCATCCTCCAGGTTTCCGCCAGGAAAGGCTCCCCACCTCCACCGCCCAATCTGTACGAAGCCAGGGCCAAAGCTTACGCCCAATCCCACGCTAGGTCCAGAAGTTGTACTGATTTTTCGTCTCCATACAGTCTTGGCTAGTGCAGCTGCGGTAGCACCTAGAGACGGGTCATCCTTTAGCAGATCGTTCTCCAACCCTCCAACAATGTTACTGCTGTAGACCAAGCGCCAACCACGTGTTCGGAAAATGATCGCCGTTTGGCCTGCTCTGTGACACAGTAGAACGAATTCGCCAGCGGTGCCTTTGCCGTTCACCTCGGCTAACCTCCAGTCTCCAAACTGGATAAAGCGGTCGCCAAATGCGATTCCTATAGGTTTTTCCGGTAGAGTACCTCGTTCCCACAGGCCGAATCCGCCATTTCGATTAGAGATGCGAGGATGAGGACGAAAACCTTTCCACCGTACAAGTGCATAAAGGTAGTTCTGGTTCTCAAAAACAAGCTAAAAATGTTCATCAAGATGCTCAAGAAGCGACTACAAAAATGGTAAGTATGTGTAGCAATAGACGCAGAGACCACAAGTACAAGTTCAAGTAATGTCTTCTTCGTGCTTAACTATCCCTCCTTCACCGCCCGCGCCACCCGCTACACTGCTCGGGAAGGTCGTTCCGTCCGCTTGAAAAATGTCCAACGTTCGCACGAAGCCATCTAGAGCGCGATATTCTAGTACTGCACGACTACAAGGGGATGTGCGCGAAGCAATGGGGCCACAGTTGGCAATAGCGGTACCAGGATTCGCCTCCCCAAGCCTGAATCGGTCTCCAAACTGGATAAAACGGTCACCAGCTTGGAAGTAGCTGCTGGCGTTGTAGAAGACAAGTTCGTCATCGGGACGATTGTTGGGGTCACTCTTCTTGGTTGTTTCCGACTCAGACTCCAAGGCAGATGTCTCGGCTTCAGTTATCTTTTCCTGTGCTGAATGTTTCTGTTCTCCTTCCTGTTCCTGACCTTCCTGAAGATTCTGATTCTTAGAAGATTTACTGGAAGTTATGGTCTTCTGCGCATGAAGTTTGCTGCTCTTCTCGCCCAAAGCAACACCCTTTCCCTGAATATCCGCTAAAGGATCAGAAGGTGGAGGAGACTTCTTCATCTCGCTGATTTCTTGTCCCGATACTGATCCATCCAACAATGCAGCTCCACCAGCACTAGTGCCTGTTGTTCCGAAGTATGGTATCTTTCGTCTTTGCATCATCAACATCGCTGACGCACTTGAAAATAGAAATCGATCAGCCGGACATTTCGGAATCCCAGCAGACAGTGCAATACTACTCGTGCCTCCCTCTGCTTCCTTCGCGCCCTTTTCTGCCCGTTTCTTGGCTTCTCGAAAAAAATGTTTCCATGCTTTGTTATCCCCTAGTGGGTGCTTATGGTGCGCCAAATCCGATGGCTCGACCAGTGGCGTCAAGGTTTTAGGCGTGACTTCCAACTCCATGGAGTCGATGGGTGCGAAAATCAATCTTGCATCGTAGTTTCGATTGTGAAACAACTCCATTCCGCACAACGTTACCTTGCCGTCTCCACGCGTCGAGTCCCGTTTGATCGTTACTCGATCCCCGAAGTTGTCCAAAGGGATCTTGGCTGTGAATTTATCCTCGTACATTAGAGCGCAAAACAATTTCTTTCTTGCTGTCATTTCTTCAGAATCCCAAGGGAGAAACAGTGAGAAATGTATTGCAGAAATGAATTTAATTATAATGAGCCTTAAGTACAAGTATTTCACATTTGGCAAGGCGTCAACTCTATCCGGATCCAGACTGCCAATTTTCTGCCCATTGATGTAGACGTCACAGGTTTTCAGCCAACCAGTGTGATCCACGTTGTAAAGGTCCATACGCGTGAAGTGTAGTGTCTCTCCGCTTTAGTTAGAGCCACCGCATTCGGCGCATCCCTCCTTGCCGTCTTTCCCCTTTGGAAAACGAAAATAGCCTATGGTAAGAGCATGATATTTCAGCGCATGGTGCTCTCTTGCTCTTGATGGTGTACTTAAGTAGTTCTTTCAGTACAACAGGCTCTCTTGCTCTTGCTCTTGGTAGTCCTTGCCTTAATTTTGACTTTCGCCTCATAGACCTGCGGGAACCGCGGCATATCCGTGGCATAGCCATAGATGATGATCTCTTGGAAATCCAAAGCCTGCATTTCGCCGACTTGCAATGGAGAACCCTGCGATGACGTGCCGTCTGGCGATTGCGTTGTTGATGGGGATATGAAAGGTGGTGGTGGTGGTGGTGGTGGTGGGATGCAGAAGAAGATGAAGAGTTGTTGTTGGGTAGTTTAGTTAGTTTGTAGCACAATCGCAATCGGGATCTAGCACTAAAGCTAGCGATAGTGCGCCACTTCTTTAGCGTCTATAGTACGCATGTCATGTGTGTGTACCTGAAATCGTCTTGCCTGACAACCGTAGGGTTATTTCAGTCTGCATACACTTTAGTACACATACTCATACACACAGAAGATCAACATAACTGCAATTCCCCCAGCCCCATTCGTTCCCAAATATTGCTCATCGGGCAACGCGTGTCTTTGGATCGTCACATAGCGAAATGGCGTTCCCGCTGTGTTGCAGAAGACACGTAGTCTGTGCGTTTTCTTGTCGATGCTTCCAGGATTCGGGTCGGCGTCTTCTGCTAGCTGTCTCACAGTGCCAGGCTCTAACCTGGGACTATTACTGTGTATTAGCAACTGCTCACAGGCAACAGTGGCATTGCCTTAGTTAGAGCGATAGATACCGCGTGCGCATCCCACCTAGCCGCATCTGCGTTCTTCCCTGGCTCCTTTTGTTCTCACAAGCCTAGAAGAAGGACGCACAGGGATCGATGCTTTGAAGGATACGATTGTGGTAGCCTTAACATAGTCATCCCCGACAAACCCGCCAGACGTTACGTCGTAAGCATATTTCCTTTCGTAATCGAACTTGCGGCCGTCATGATGCTGGTCGATGGAGGTGAGACGGTCTTGACGACAGCCGATTGCGGTGTTTTCGTCGCCTAGAGTTAGAGGTGCTGTGCGAGGAATCTTTGCTTAGGATAGAAATAATAAAGATTAAGATGAGTCGAAACTACTGTAGTCCGCGTCACGCCAGCCTTATCAACTCGCACGCAGTATTCTGCAATGTCACCAACAGCTCCTGTGGCGAAACAAGTCCACCCGCCGCCGTTGGTCGTGGCGCTCCATGCTCTATGCCCCAAACAAGACCATCAGCGACATTCGCAGCATGATCATCGAGATCATGCTGACCTTGATGCTGGGACTTTTTTTTGTCCTTCAGCAGCTCCTCCAGTTCGTCATCGTCTGTCTCGTTCATAGGGTCAGTGATGTTGGACACATTACTCCCATTCGACATATTGCCCATCATCGGGAGTTAGAAACATCAGTTCGGATCGTCTAACAGGTTCTCTTTTCTAAGAATGTGATGGTCGTGCTGGTGCAGTAGATATCGCAGACCAGAAAAATGGTGGATAAGACTTTTCTAGGAGGTTAGTGTAAAACTAAAAACCCTAAGAACTGTTCTCATTTCTGAGCCAAAGAGCAAAACGAGAAAGTCGTGCAGCTAGTTCATATTTTTCTTCATCTGGTGTCAGTGTCTTCATAAATCTCCAATCGCGGGAATTTGGTTCCGACTTCTTTGAGGATACTCGCTGCCATATTCGAATCGTTCACATAGGCTGTCCCACACCCTGGCCCCGTCCCAAAGTCGGCTTTCCAGCATTTCTGAGTGTTAAACATCTGCACTTCAGTCACAAAAGCCCCTTTGTCTGGATCCGGAGCTACTTGGATCCAAGGCGCGCGTTGAGGGCCTACTTTACACTGAGGAGGAAAAGCTTTGCGGAAAGCGGCTGGAAGTTAGAGATCGTACTAGAGCCGAAGGAGAGGACGAGGGAGAAACTATCTAGAGTTAAGCCGTAATCTAATCCCTTTCCGTCCATCGTTCCTAAGCTGCCTCTTGCTGGCGGTACGACTTTCATGGGCACGTCAAACACTGCTTCCTGGCAGAAATGACATCTATGGGTAGTCGCAGTATAGTCAATACTCTTGTTGATCAAAATGGGCTTCTCCGCAAACTGTTCATCGTACTCGACGAAAAGATACTGGCAATGGGGTGTTAGAAGAGTTAAATAATCGCTAGAGGTGAAGAAGTCAAAGTATTAGAAGACTGTACTACATCATTTGTAGTATTCGTATTGTATATTATAGTTTGTAGCTAAAAAAATTTTGGATTATCTACTAGGACGAGAACCGTCCTCAACAATCAAGACGAAGAACGGTCATGAGTTAAAAGTTCCAAAAAGGAGCCTCAACTCCAATGCCGCACAAACTTTCTTGCAGACATGAGGTTCTGAAGTTCCGTTGAACATGCGAACTGGTTTGACGAGACGTTCCGGAACCCTGTAGGGAAAACTGCACACTTTCGCTTGAGTCAAGAGAGGCGGGTCTCCCATCATGTAGACCGGCTTGCCCATTGTGTTGTACCAGATATTGTCGAAGCGGAGGTTAGAGGAAGCACTGGAGGTTCTGTTCATCAAGTAGAGGTAGAGGTTGTTCTTGCATTTCTATTTCAAATAGGTCTAAGTATAAGTAAGAACTTCCTGACCCTTGATGCAGCTCTTGAGATCATGGGTCACGACGTTGATACACGACCAGCCTTAAATTTCTCAACGTTATCGACTATTTCCGCACCCGCCGTGACGCCAGTACGTGTCATACTGGTTTTCTTCTCCATTAGTGGCAATTTCTGCGGTCGCACTGCTTCACACCTTGAGGTGAATTGATGTTTTCGACTTTCCAGAACTGGACTTCTCGAAGATGAGGTAGTTTCTTGTAAGAAAGAAGAGCTAGTACTCGCAGAGGTGTCCTCAGGATTGGAATATGAAGTAGATCTTGAAGCCGAAGCGAACAAACCTCCATTATCTCCACCTCCATTACCTTCACCATTCAACCTCTCCAACACTGCCCTCTCTTCAGCAGGCAAAGGATTCTTCTCCCAGTAATCGTAATCTTCATCATATGCTTCTCTGTCTAAAGACATCAACATATTTGCATTTGGAGGTGGTATAGGAACCCCAGAAGCTTGCTGGATATCCACGTTAGCGTTCCTTTTGGCACTGGCTTTGAGATTGGAGAAGTCCGGATACTTGAACCCGTGGTACTTCTCGTAAGTAGACTGGTCGGTGGTGGCGCGGGGGTTAGAGAAGATAGCGATATCACAGTAGTGTCTTTGTGAAGATCTAGTTGCGTACCTACTATATAATCCGCTAAAAAGGACCTGTTGCGATCTGAAAGTATAATTCTTGGCTCCACTTCAATCCATAGTACCGTCCTACTTCCTATGAGCTGTTCTTCAGAACCTACAACTTCGTTCCAGAACCTACATCTAGCCGCTGTTCTTCTTTTCCTCATGATCAAAATGAGGCTACCAAATACCAGAACCATTCAAACCTACAACTTCGACTTCCTATGACGAGCTCCTTAAATCACAATTGATCTCATCATAACCAAATACTCCTCACTTGTCCTCTGCAGTAGTCCTGGTGGCCTCAGCTCTTCTGCACCGAACTCCTCCATCATTCCTGGTCTAACCCGTGAATAGACATCATCCTTCGTCCTGTCATAGAAGATTCGCACACCGCAAAAAGTCAAACCACCACCAACGCCACCTGTCTTAGAAAGGGTTCACCCAAATGACCCATCTACTTGTTCGGGTTCGGATTCATCTCGAAAATCGAACTGCTTTTCCCCGCCGAATCAATATGGGAGAACAATTTCAAGCAACAGCTACTGAGATCGATGCGGAAAATGGACTAAAACATGGACTAGACTTCTGGAGTGACAGCCTTAACTCTTGTCTCGTTATGCACGATGCGAACGGCCATGCCTTTTTCATACTGGAGAGGGATTCTGGCCAGAAATTCCGGACCAGTGTATAGCCCCTGCAAGACTTCTCTTGTTCTCCTATACCGATCGTCGTCTTGACGGAACATCTGCGACTTGAACTGCGAAATCAAGCCCACACGGTCCGAACTTTAGATCTTACCTATCTTCATCTTGAAACGCACCTTTGACGCGGTTAACATCCGTGAAAAGAGGAGTCAAAGATGCTTGTTCCTAAGATGAATTACAGTAACTATAAGGGTAAGCCTTAAGGACTATCCGGATCCAGAGCACCTACAAAGCGATCGTCGATGTACAAGTCTGCGAACTTGAGCCAGTCCACTCTGTCAACGTTGTAGATGTCAATCCTGGTTAGATACTTTGGTCCAGTGGCGATACGGCCTAACCACATACGTGGAAAACGCTCGACGCCAAATTAGAACCCAGGGCCATTCACTTCTTGCCTACATTTCGATTTCTCCCAATGATCCTAAGAAGGAAATAGCGAGAAATGACTTGTATGTTGCAGAAATGAATGAATCGTATAGCTATAGTTGAGCCTTAACCAAACGTGAACTTCAGGAGGCCAAGAGAATACCCGTAGGCACGAATTTCCGTAAAATTCAATAAAGCTGCAACAGTGTCAACAGGAGCTTCGCCAGTTCGTCCAGCCAAGGCCCCTCCTTGACCTCCAGTATCGTCTCTCGGCATCTCCCTTGCAATCCGAATGAACGGCAGGGCGCCTGATCCAGCGTTGATGCTAAATCCAGTATCAGCAGCCACGGGAGACGGCGCCGAATCTTCTGAACCACAGCGAACGCTCAACATCCCTGCTGGATACAGATCTTGGACTTGATGGCTTTTTTTGGCGACGTAGTCGGCACGGAACTGTTCCTCTGGTGTGCGCTGAGCCCTCAATGCGGTTTCCGCGGCTTTTCTGCCCTCTTCGGAGTGGTCTTCGTCGAAGTCTTGAGGTTTCTCTGGAGGCGCAGGACCCCCCACAGCCGCAACCACACCCTCTAATAGAGGATACCGAGAGGTGCCGTTGCCACCCTTGAGGTCGTTCTTGATCTCAGGATATCGGTTGAAGTCGGTTTTCTTCTCCATGTAAGTAACATCCGGCATCACACTGCTACCGCCTGGTGTAGGAACGATACCGCGAAACCTTTCCTTCCGCACGCTGCATCCCCAGCACTCATCGTATGCTTGCCCAGAACTGAAGACTCGCACAACGGACATACAGGTTTCTCTCGTCAAACAGGATGTTCCGCACATGGTAAGCCATCGATTCGTATCGATTCCAAAAGCATTGTTGGAGACACTCGCTGTAGGCCTTCGGATTTTGAACACAACCTCGGAAGCCTTGCAAACCTGACGCGTGCTTACTGGCTTGCCGTTTGCAGTGGTGATAGCTGCTGTCCTCGAACTTGCTGGGGCTGTGGTGGAAGTCTCGACGCCATAGATTAGAGAGCAGGGATGCAGTTGAAGTACTCCATAGGAACATTCACAGAAAAGCTTCTTTACTCACTGACGGTTAGGGCATTTTTGATGGTTATCTAAGTAAAAAATAAAACCTCCTTTGTCCTTAAAAACGCTTCCACGGGATCAAAGGCGTCAACATATCGAGTGCCATCGACTTGTTCCGGAAAGCCTGATAGTGGCATAGCAATCATTCGTTTCTCAAAAGCGGCGGAAGGGGAGGCAATAGGAGTCGTGCTGGACTCCCCTAAC